TATCAATGACTCTTTTATGTGCATAGCTTAGAGTGCATGACGAAGATAACTAACTCGACTAGTGAGTTGTTATTAACCAATTGTAACTAGGTCTTCCGGATGACTCTAGCTTACACGAGCTGTAGGGACATGCATATTACTTCTTGTAATTGTATATAGACTTGCAGAGGTTGTAGCTCCATAACTAACCAACCAATCTGAACTAACTAAGTCTTATCTTGTAGAGTGGAGCTCCTTCCATGTTATCCAGCAAAAACCCCTCGGTCGCATGCCTCGTATCTCCGCGGAGCGGGCTGCATAGATGCCTTGTCATATCGTGCGCTAATATCTTAGCGCTACGAATATTATGGCGGGGCCCAGAGTCGAACATGTGACCTTATGCATTTAGTCACATGCCGCACCGATTATGCTTCTATGTGTAACAGGAGAGAGGAAGAGAGAATTCACATAGGTGGTATTTAGCTAAAGCGGACGAGATTATGATTTTTCTGGGCTTGATCATCTATATGGGCCTGTATCCTATTAGTGTAGTCCCTGACTACTGGCAGAAAGATGGTCTTGCTCCACTTTATAGGTAAATCCATTTAGCTTTAATATATGTACATAGAACTTGTATTTTAATTAATTTAATTATAGAATATCACAATACATGACCCAAGTACGCTTTGAGCAGCTCAAGCGATATTTTCATATCTCAACCCCAGTTGAGAATTTGCCTTGCCATTCATGGTATTAGAAGTTAGAGCTACTGTTGACCAATCTGCAACACCGTTACCAGCACTATTGTATATCAGCTATGCAAGTTTCAATCAATGAGATGATGATCTGATTTGTTGGTAGATCTTTACATACTGTAAGACTACCTAATAAACCTATACCAGAGGGTTATAAGGTGTTTGCTCTTTGCGAGCATGGGTATACATTTTCTTTTATGTATACTTCTTGTATGAACTTGGATCAATTCTCAAGACATGACCTACCATATCCAGGACCTGGTAATCTTCAACTAAGTCCTACCTCATGGGCAGTATTCCACCTAGCTACAGCTTTACCATACCAGCAGTATCAATTTATCCTTCATTGTGATAATTATTTCAGCAATGTACCTTTGTTTTAAGCCCTACGATATTACCAAATTGCTGCCTATGGTACTGTCCAACCCAACTCAGCTGAGTATTCATTGGTATTGAAAATCGACAAAAAGAAAGTGCTTCTACCATGGGGTATGATTTCTGGTATAGTACCTGAAAACCATGAGGTACTTGCAGTAATTTGATAGGATCAAACCTTAGTACGCATTCTTACAACTACCTATGATATGAGACCTATGCCCTGAAACTAATGCCCTGAAACTATACTGTCCATCCCCACCACCGCCCACGCCGTCCAAATAATCGAAATGCATATCGCGAGATGATTGATAAGATATGGGGAGAGTTAAGAGTCCAGGAACTTGTATTACCTACTGCTACAGTAGACTACAATATGCACATGGGTGGTGTAGATATAGCTGACCAGCGCCGTAGCTATTATTCTACACAATTACGGATTGTTAGAAACTGGATGCCTATATTCTTCTGGCTCCTTAATACGACTGTCATTAATGTATTTCTTATCATTCAACAGCATATGGGTAGAACGTGCAATTCTCTTTGGCAAAGGCATTCAAGATTTCAAGAAAGGCTTGCCTGAGATCTTGTGGAGGAAGGCTATCAGCAGCTACATCCTGGACAAGTACCACTATTCCAGTCCAATGAACTTGGACCATAGGCTTTAGTTCCTAGTAGAAATAATCATACTAGCTGTGCGATGGAGTATATTACCAAGGTTACCGCCTTACCTCCGTTACGAAAAGATTCTACAGCCCACATACTTACTTGAAATTAATTTCAATAAAGACCCAAGTACTGTATTCTATGTCACTTTCTTTTCAAGCTCCCTCCTGAATCACTATATTATGAGGCCTTTTACCATGCTCCTGGTAGCCCACAAGGTAAAATCTGACATTCTGTCACAAACTGTGACTAAGCAAGGCAGATTTTACATAGCTAGGATTTCCAAGCTATAGGTATGTGGGGATTTCACATGACGTACACTAGTGCGCCATAGGTCATTATGTTTACCTGTTGGTGACTCACAGTTATGAGTCACACTGTTAAGAATCCTACCGGGTAGGACCTGGCGGCAGGTAACGATACTTCTCTGTAAGGTGATAACTCTTAGGCCTATGCCTACGCGATCCCGATAGTCCAGTCCTTTGACTACTATCGTACTCTCGCCTATCTCCTTATTCTTCTTCTTAGTCCTCGCTTAGGACTCAATCTTTTCTTCTGAGAGGAAAGACACTTCTCAGGTTTCTTAAGATGAATCTTAAAGAGCGTAAAGGTAGGTTTTATTGATAATAACTTAAAGGTAGGAAATAAACAAGAAGAACGTGTGAAGAGCTAATACTCGGTGTCCTAGCGACTTCTTTATATAGTAGCTCTTCACCTGGCGTGACTCATACCTCGCGTCACGCGAACCCTGTGACTCATAACCATGAGTCATATGAAATCCATCAGACGACTCCTAGGAGTCGCTGCTCCACATGCCTAAACCAATCAAAACATAATAACTCAGTCAGGTGCGCAACTCGTGTCACCTGAGTGAAACCCATGACTCATAAGTATGAGTCAGGTGCGAAAATCATAACATCGTGTGACTCACAACTGTGAGTCACGAACAGGTAAACATAATAACCTATGGCGCACTAGTGTGCGTCATGTGAAATCCCAACATACCTGTAACTCGGAAGTCCGAGCTATGTGAAATCTGCCTTGCTTAGTCACAGTTTGTGACACACACGATGTTATGATTTTCGCACATGACTCAAGTTACGAGTCATGGGTTTCACTCAGGTGACGCGAGTTGCGCACCTGAAATAGTTATTAAGGTTTTGATTAGGTTTAGGCATGTTGCGCAGCGACTCATAAGAGTCGGCTGATGGATTTCGTGTGACTCATAGTTATGAGTCACAAGGGTCGCGTGACACATAAGTATGAGTCACGCCAGGTGAAGAGCTACTATATAAAAGGTCACTAGGACCCCTAGTATTAGCTCTTCACACGTTCTTCTAGTTTATTTCCTACCTTTAAGTTATTATCAATAAAACCTACCTTTACGCTCTTTAAGATTTATCTTAAGAAACCCGAGAAGTGTCTTTCCTCTCACAAGAAGAGGTTAAAAGTCCTAGGCGAGGACTAAGGAGAAGAATAAGGAGATAGGCGCGAGTACGATAGTAGTCAAAGGACTAGACTATCGAGTTCGCGTAGGCATAGGCCTAAGAGCTATTACCTTACAGAGAAGTATCGTTACCTGTCGCTAGGCCCTACCCGGTAGGATTCTTAACACATTCCTATTTTGTTTGCAGTTATTGTACAATTGCTGCATTTAATGTTCCACTTTGTAAAAACTATTGTTTTAACACATTTCACTTTCTTGAATAGCCTGAAATTATTTTCACCTTTATTTTTATCTTTGTACTCGAGTATTTGTTGTACTTCTGTGGGGGTTGATCACTGGCATTGCTTCTTTTGTTTTAATGCTTATGACCGGTCACTACTTGATTTGTATATGAGATCGATGATCCCTGTTTTAGCGCAAAACTAAAAGTGCGTGAAACTCGGGAACAGACGAAGCGATCTGTTCCAGCAATATTTATTGCTTTTTGAAAGCTCTGGCAGGATGAGGCATATTCTAGGGGGGTATTTAGCCGCCTGAAAACCTTTTCGGGTATCTTCACTAAACTCCATGGAGCATCTCTTGGCCTAGTGACCCGCGCGCCGAACCAGCTACCGGTAAATTCCCCTATTGGTGGGTGGGATAGGATGCAATACGGTTAGAGAGGGCTGGAGGTGGAGTTGTGGTATGGCTCGGGCTGGCAGCCCCCCCCGAGACTTCGAGGGACTGATCTACGAAAGCTGTGGATATGGTAGATATATCCATCACGTGAAGTATGGTAAACCAAAACGATGCTGTGCTCTTTCTTATCATGTATCATGTGATAGGTATATCCATCGGCTGCACTTGTACTCTATACATATATACACTTGGTCTTGCGAAGTCCTTGGATATATCCGCAAGTATGAGTACAAGTATCATAGTGGAAAATCTTGGCTCCCCCATTTTGCGCCAAAAGTATCCCGCCTTAAGGACTAAATCGGGAGTACCTCCTTCCTAGTAACCAAACATCCACCAACAACTCTTGACAAGATTTTTCCAATACAAGTTTTCTCACAGGAGATGAATCCTACTCTGATTTAATCACCAATTTATTTTTATTTGCATCAATGGTACTTGATAGATGTGTATAAAGTATGATACTTTTGGCGCAAAATGGGGGGGGGGGGTGCTAGGTCTTTCCACACCGGTTTTTGGTGCAAGTGCTCGTGCGGTGCCGGTACCCTAGTATAAATGTACGTACCCACATTAGAGTCTACCCGTCTTTGTCACAATCCCCGCTGCAGCTCTTTTCTGATCAGCAGGCCGCTTCATCAGGACATACAGTACCCGATACGAGCATCAACGTGCCAAGTCAAACCACTCTTTTCGATAAAGGCCGCCATCAGTGATGGCTAACATCTGTTGCGAGGTGGGATCGGTGGACAAATGGAGAGATGATGGTTGTGGAGAAGAGAACTTCGCTTGCTATTCTCAGGAGCAAGCCTGCAAGCTAAATACAAGACATCAAACAACATGTGACTGCTCACTCCAGCCCCAAGCCCTCAGGCATCCAAACCTTCATCTCCAATGGTGCACACTGCACCAAGGATCATCACCTACCAACACTCAATATCTTCACTCAGGCTAATGCACATCACATCATCCTCTGTTGCCAATACGCTCTCAACAATATCGTACGTAGCGCTCGCTGATGGTAGATGTTCATGATTGCACAGACGTTTGTACAAGAGCCAAGGAGTTATTGGTTTTGCGCTGGCTAGCACGGTAAAAGGTCCAGGATGCCTATAAGTGGGATCGCCGGCGGGTCTTCGCCCAGGAACGACGGTAACTGATGAGCAATCTGTACGCTAACAAAATATCATATTTCTAGGCTATCGTTAACCGTCCAGAAGCATTTGCTACTGCTGCACTCGGTCTGGGTCGCTTGTGGAATAAGCGTGGTGGTCGCAAGGAAATCAAAGTCGACCTAGGGTTGGAATCGACCGTGCCGAATCGACCGTATCGAAGCCGGGCTTCAGCCCACTCAATCGATTGCGCTGGGGACACCGTATGCTACAATGAAGGCGCTTTCTGGGGAGCGCAAGATGACGAAGATGTGGATGCAGAAAATCGAGATTTGTGCGACTTTTGGTGCCAAAAACTGCGACGCTATCAAGGGTATTGCGGCGGTTTACAGAAAATGAAATTGAGCAGAACTGAAAGGTAATCACTAAGACGATCCCTCGGAAGTGCCGGCACCGGCCTAATTGAGTGCATTATAATACCGGTATTATTATATCTCAGACATTTGCAGTTTTCTGGCTACGGTACTTGTACTTGTACAAGTACCACGAGGCACCGGATCCTGGCCTTCCGCCAAGACGGTTGCAACTTGCATAGGGCTTCGGGCGTTCGTTTTTGTGATGATTGTGACATTATGATAATATCACAACTTACCGTATTTACAAATCAGAAAAGGACCTAACTTGCTTCGCTACTAAGCTACTCACTAAAATTCAAAAGTTTGTCGTTGAGGTATGCTACAGGGGGGCAGAGATACGTTCAAATTTTTTAGAGCCCGTTTTCTGTTCCATTGCCCCGTACGAGTGACCGTTTCCCTTCCGCCCCCAAAATTGGTTGCAACCATTTCCACAGGTACTTGTAAAATGATCACGCAGAACAGTTGTTTTCCCTTCCGTTCTTGCTAAACTGGCTCTTAGGTGTTTGGGCTCGCTAAAAGGTGAATGCACGCGGAGATGAGACAGCGCTGAGACATGTTTTGACGGGGTGTGCCCAAGTGCGGTAAGTTACGGTACTTTACATATCGCTGACTGATCAGCGGGACCCGTCCGCCATTTATCCCTCGCCTTCTCTCGAGCACCGCAACTTGTGGACTTCCTAGCGCTTAATCAAATGCAGTGATACGGGAACTAATGCTGCAACTGCAGATCATGATGAGCTGCTACCCCCTCCCCTCCTCGTTTAGCATTAGAAGTGAAAGGGCTATATTCTGGCTCCAATTGGTGGGTGAACTCCACCAGACTTGAGCATACCTGTGCTCGGGTACCGGTGGGCCGATCCATACCATAGATCACCCGCGGTTACAGCAGAGTAAGCACGGTTCATAAACCGGGTGGGGAAGGAGCGGAGTACCGGTACCCTACTTATAGACTCCGACCAAAGAGGCTTCCATTGCTCCGTCCACCCCTTCCCCACCCACACTATCGGCGGGCCTCCTGATGGTGCATCTCTTGATACCCTACAACATCATATAGCAGTGCTTGAGTAATGGTACAGTACCACCGCCACTTACATTGGGCAATTTGTGCAGATAAGCGGACCCGAGCCAAATATTAATATCAATGTTAATACCGGTAACCGCACATAAATGTACGAGTACTGCTGGGGGATCATACTTGCAGCTTGTAGCATGAACCAAGACAGCGTTGCACGTCGGGCTGGTTCCGGGCAACCGCTTGGCCTGCAACTGCCATACCGTTGCACCTGAGCTGTTGCCGCGTCGAAAGGTATGATACGGTACGTTCCGCCCGTGCAATACCGTACTGTACGGTACTCGTGCAAGTAGAGATCGAGAACTGCCCCACCCCCGCAAAATATCGATTGCGTAGCAACGGACCCCCTCCTCGGCTATCCCTTTTCCTGTTTGATCATTTCTCCTCATTCCATCCCTACTCGTAGACGACAGTACGAGTACTGTACCGGTACCGGTGCCCCCTCCATATGAGTATATAATATCATGATATCATACCATGGCTCTCGAGCTATATACCCTCCGCCCTCCCCCCTTTTCCCTCCACTTTTCCCCTCTCCAGATTAACCACCCACAAACACACTCTCTACCACCCCACAAAAGTGCACCTTCAAAATGACCCTATCGATCGACCTTGAGCTCCCTAATGGGGTCAAGTACAACCAGCCCCTTGGATTGTAGGCTCCATCCCCCCCTCCGTAGCGTTCGGTTGGGCTCAAGTTTGCTGAATTCCGTTGATACCGTCCACATTCTCAGGTTCATCAATAACGAATTCGTCAAGGGTGCCGAAGGCAAGACCTTTGAGGTCATCAACCCAAGGTCCGCCGATTCCATGTCGTGGTGTTGTTGGAATATGGTTTCTGATGATGTCACAGCACTGAGAAAGTGGTTTGCTCCGTTCACGAAGCGACTGAGAAGGTCGGGAGGGCTCCTTTCGATAGTATTCCCGTCTCTGCTAAGCTTACCCTCTTGCCATAGGATGTCGACATTGCCGTACACGCTGCTCGTACAGCCTTTGAGGGAGAGTGGCACAAGGTTACCCCCGCCAGGCGTGGCCAGCTTCTCTGCAAGCTTGCGGATCTCTTCGAGGAGAACCTCCTCATGCTGGCCTCCGTAGAGGCGCTCGACAACGGGAAGAGCGTTTCTATGGCCAAGGGTGACATTGGCGCTGCCGCCGCTTGCCTGAGGTACTATGGCGGATGGGCCGACAAGGTCCACGGAAAGGTTATTGATACGGAACATGGAAAGTTCAACTACACAAAACAAGAGCCCATCGGTGTCTGCGGGCAGATTATCCCGTGAGCCCCTGGGACACTAGGTGATTTTCGGAGATATTCGCTAAAACCCCGCAGATGGAACTTCCCGATTCTTATGTGGGCGTGGAAAATTGGTCCCGCCATTGCCACCGGTAATGTCGTTGTCCTCAAGACTGCAGAGCAGACACCCCTAAGTGGTCTGTTGGCCGCGGGATTGACCGCTAAGGCCGGATTCCCTCCCGGCGTTATCAACATTCTCTCCGGTTTCGGTAAGACCGCTGGCGCCGCTATTTCCTCCCATATGGACATCGACAAGGTTGCTTTCACCGGATCCACCATCACTGGACGTACCATCATGAAGGCTGTTGCAAACAGTAACCTGAAGAAGGTTACCTTGGAGCTTGGTGGAAAGAGCCCCAACATTGTGTTTGACGATGCCGACATTAATGAGGCCATTAGCTGGGTCAACTTTGGTATATACTACAACCACGGACAGTGCTGTTGCGCTGGATCCCGTATCTACGTCCAGGAGGGCATCTATGACACTGTCAGTTAACCCCCCCCCCCACCCCCCAACACACACTACAATTAACCTCCAAGACATTAGCTAACATGTCCCATAGTTTGTCGAGAAATTCAAGAAGAGAATAAAGGAGAACGTTGTTGGCGACCCGTTCGAGAACGAGACCTTCCAGGGTCCTCAAGTTTCGCAGCTCCAGTTCGACAGGATTATGGAATACATTGAGCATGGAAAGAAAGAGGGTGCCAAGATCGAACTCGGTGGCAAGCGCCATGGAAACGTTGGCTACTTCATCGAGCCTACCATCTTCTCCAATGTAGACGAAAGCATGAAGATCATGCAAGAGGAGATTTTCGGCCCGGTTGCCTCGATTGCCAAGTTTAAGACTGTGGGAGACGCAATCGCTCTTGGTAACAAAACTACCTTCGGTCTTGCTGCTGCCGTCCACACCAAGAACCTCGACACTGCTTTGACCGTTGCCAACAGCTTGAAGGCCGGCACCGTTTGGGTCAACACCTACAACGCCCTTCATACCGCTCTTCCGTTCGGTGGTTTCAAGGAGTCTGGTATCGGCCGTGAACTTGGAAAGGCTGCATTGGCCAACTACACTCAGGTCAAGACCGTATCGGTGAACATGAATGGCGCGCCGTATTAGGCGTCTTGACCCTGGTTTATCGGTGGACGTGTGAGAAGGCATTTTTCAAGTGGGTAAAGCTTTTAGGGCTCTTTGATTTTCTAACTGCCGGGTGTGGTTTTTACTTTTCTCCATTTCTTCCACTTTTCACCTATTCTCTCATTGCCCACTTTGTATTCTATATCCCGATGAAAAACGAAATGGAAATGCCTTGACACAACGACAAGACGAGATGAGTGATTGTATTTGTTGGATTAAAGGTCTGGTTGGGCGAACATGACCGCATCCCTTCCCAGAATTCTCCATTCCACGTTTCTAAACTTGACTGCCAAAGTTCTCTTCCCATCTGCTGCCGGTGAAGCTGCTGGTGGCGATACATTTACACCACCTTGACCAAGATATGTGGGCGCAACGGTGACAATCACAGAGTCCACAAGCGGTAGATTTCCCTCAGCGAGCAGATCGTTAATAATCCCACCGCCCCCCTCGACCATGACGCTATTCAAGCCTAACCCCTTCATCTTCTCTGACAAGACATGCCAACTCCACCTCTGTTTCCCTAGGGTCTCTATAACAACCACTTTACCCCCAACCTCCTCCAATATCCCCCTCCTCTCATCCCCGCCTACCCCCACCTCACTTCCAACAAAAACATAAGGTGCCAACCCTTCACCCCTCCTCGCCGTCTGCACCACCCTCGACTCCCTCGTAATCTCCCAACGGAACGTAGGATCAAGGATGACCGGCCTTGGCTGCTTCGTCAGCGGCGTCCCCGGTAGACGAGAATTCAGTCCCGGGTCGTCTACCGCGGCGGTACCAACTCCTATCAGTATTGCGTCGTGAAGGGTGCGGAGGTGGTGAGTTAATGATTTTGTTTCCGGGCCCGAGAGGGGAACCTGTGTGAGGGGGATGGAGAGATGGGAGTCCAGTGATGTCGCGTAGGTTAAAGTCAGGAAGGGTTTTCCCATGTCTTGAGGTGGGGGCAGGTACTTGTCGATGCCGGGAGGCGGGGGGTAGGCTATTAACGGTGCCATATCATTCTATCTTATCTCTGCTAGTACTAGCAATGAATCGTACTCGCACGGCGTACGCTATGATGTGTCGAGCGGGGGGAGAGGAGGCGGAGGTGGGAATAGCTCCGAGTTATGGGGTGTGACGTTAAGAAATAGGCAGTGATCGACGCGTAAGCCATCGCTTGCCCGAAATTCCGGAAAACCCTTTCAAAACCTCTCCTCCCGGGTTCCCTCCCCCTTCTCCCCCATCTTTTCCATCAACCAGAGAACCTACGGTATTTCGCCCGCTACTTGCTTGTTTGCTTGCTCCTTTCATCAATCGATAACAAACCCACTCATCCCAAGGCTTTTTTTCTCTTCCCGCTTCCCTTTCTCCTATACAGCTCCACAAAGTGAGGAACCGACAAGATGGATAGCATGTCAAACATCATTCGCCTCGTAAATCTCGGCGTGGGGGTGATTATGGTTCTTGGAGGAATCTCGCAGTTCTTTCCCATGGGTTTGCAGAGCATTATCGTCGGATGCTACGTTATTGTGTTTGGTCTTGGTGAGATTTCACCCCTTTCCCGCCTGGCTCTTACTCGCTTTGGCGTTGGCCTCTCTCAGCGATGATACCTTCGGTTACGCTAATAGAGGTGTGCTATTTGATTAGTCATTGGTTTACTGGAGTTTCAGATTCCGCCACAAACGTCAAGATATGCGTCGTTCCTCTTCTCGTTCCTTGGTCGTGGTGTCTGTACGTTCGCCTTTGCCATCTAAAAATCTCGAAACGAGGAGGAAAAGTGGTGGAGATCTAGGCTAACAGAGAGTGGTTGGCAGTCTACATCTTTGTCGGAAGTATTTTGATCACCGGCGGTGCTCTAAGGATCATCGCTGGTTCTATCATTGGGCTCGTCGGTGCTATCTATGGTGAGTGTTCCCTTCCATAACTCTTTAAGTAGCGGTGGAAAGCTAATCGGACGGATTACAGTTGGCCTGGAGTTTGTGCCATCCATTGAACCACCAGAGAACATGAGGAGCTCCGAGTGGGATGGTGAGCAGGTTTAGGGCCGTTACGAATGATATCCTGGAGAATTTGGCTATACTGAGATGAGGGAATGCGATGCGGGATTATGGTATTGGAGCAGAAACGAACACTATGCGGGGAGGGAGGGGAGAGTGGTGGGGATGTAGCAATAGCCGCAGAAAGAAAAGGAACAGCGGTCGGGGGAACTCTAATGGGTTTTCTTGTTCGCGTTGTATTAATGCAATGGTTCAATGGGTAAGGGCGGAGGCGCCGTTGGCTATTTATTGGATTATGATATCATATCATAGGACGGTTTTACGGTTTTATATTGCCTTTCGGGTTTGGAGGTTGGGTAATCGCTTGGGTTGGTGAAGGGCTTGTGCTGCCCTTCAGTCGCCGTTTGCCGGGTAAGACAGCGGTATCAGGTTCGCAATTTGTTGAAGTGTACTCGCGCCGCCGGATTGCTGATGCGTTTCCCAATATGGGTAAGCTGGTGGCAAAGGGGTTCAGGAAATGGTTATGTAAGTATTCGGAGAAAATGTCGGAAGTACCATATCGACATATACTCTATTCTGTGATCATGATATTACATGCACTTATGCCTTACCCAGTCCAACCTTGAACAAATTAAAATAAATAATCTAGCCATTAAAGTTGTTACCCCCCCCCCATGCAGTATACATTGTTCCAGCTTTTCATAAAAAGAACTGCAATGTCTATCAATTAATTCTTGTGGATATTCCAACCAGGTCTGTTCCAGAACAGCTTTTGCATCCTCGATTGTTGCTTGACTGACACCTGTAAACTGAAATGTTGCAATTTCATCTTTGTGGTCACTCCAAACAGGCTCGATCTGATTCCAGTCTGGTGATTTTGGTGGCCAATCAAAGGTAATGATTCCTCTCTTTTGTCGTGTTTCCTTATCAATCTTTGATGCTGTTTGGTGCGCTGGAGCCTTGTCCTCAACTAAATAGGTAACCGGCATACCTGTAGTTGCTTGGAGCTGATCGATCCATGGGTATAAGAGGGGTTCCAAAATGCGATCCCGATAGGATACCCAGTTAATCCCACCCTTGCTATGAAAATCCAAGCAGTCGTGCTTAAAGACCTGTCGGGCATGTCGGTGGCGGCATTTATGACGTCCTGTTCGGCCTTCTTCTTGATTTTGTCGATCGATATTGGCATTGACTTCCTCCAGAGCAGTATACTGCCAGGTACCTTCAATACCAGCCAGAGTCTCATTTTCCTCCTGCTGACTGTATCATATATCATTTTCATGATCCACAATTGCTCTGTACCGCCTCTTCTCATCCTCTGTATCCTTCTCCTATATATGATAAGGTCCGCGCTGACCTAAACATACTACTCCCCAAAACATAACTCGAATCGTGCAATCACCTTTTTTATAGAGTGCCCATTTATTTGGATCAGCACCCAAAGGCCTTGTAATGTTCCGCTGCTGCCAGACTAAATTAAACTCAATCCACATCTCATCAGTAAAGATGATATGATTGATCGCAATATGAAGTACCATATGACAAAAGGCAAGCCGGTCTTCAACATGCTTGGGGGATAAGAAGGGCTTATGAGTGGCCTTCCGTCAAAAGAGACCATGCTGGTCATGAAAAATGTGTTCTAAGGTAGACTGTGCTGCATGAATTCCCAGCTCCTTAGCTACATCTTCATAGGGCATTTGCCAATGATCTTCATCTTTTTGAGACAGATCACGCAAAGCCATAGACTCTGCACTCTCTTCACCAAATTTCAATGATTGTCCTCCTCCATGCTCATCTTCCAAACATACTAACACGTCCTCAAACTCTCCAGCATTTGAAGCTCGTATCTATCAGTATTTTATTTCCCTGTCAGTAAAATAATTTGCCTTAAAGTTATAGTATTTATTGACTTGTTCGGATGTCTATACCTTTGCCCTCTTGACAATCTCACTAGCTGTCTATTCCTTTACCTCAACTTTTGCTTCAATTTGCTTGAACGTTAAGCCTCTATGCCAGTAGAGGCCAAGAATAACGGCTCGCATGAGAACAGGAATCCTCGAGGCTGATCCAGGTCCTGTAACTCCAGGAGGCATGTTGGAGTACTGGGAACTGTGTGGTTTGCGATCCGGAGTCAGATTCTAGTGATTTGATTGACTTGCCAGTGGGATTAACTTGGAACCTGTTTGTTCCACATCCAGAGTCTTTTCGCAAAGTCTCTACTATCAGTCAGACTTGAGTACGATCAAGTATATTGTTTGATAACTTACTATAATTTTTCTAAGTTTCCCAAAAGGTATTTGGCAAATTACAGCATCATGAACTCTTGTTGATATTATATAACCTCATATATCGGTATTCCTAGATCCGGTACTTCGGCAATTTAGTGTAAATGCTTATATCATCACTCCTATCACATCATTGCCACCAACTTACCCATATTGGGAAACGCATCAGCAATCCGGCGGCGCGAGTAGAACCAGGGCTCGGCTTCTTCTCCATTAGTCCGCTCAGACTGGTACTCGTAGTGGTATTCAAGGTTAAAAAAAGGTACCTCCACCAACAAGTAAACCCGGAAAGTTGCATTAGGTTACTTTATGGTGTTAGTCAATAGTATTCATGCATTTTGGGTAGCATATTTGAGTGCACCATGGCAAGTGAGGGTAAAGTATCAAAGCTAATTAGGATTCTACCAATACTCGAGTACTGCGAAAATTTGTTTTATGTTAATAAAAAATCACAGTTAAGAGATTTTTGCTGAAAAAAAAGTAGATAATTGTTCTTAAGGCATACTATCATATTTTAGGATTTTATTTTTATTTTTTAAAATGTTATTTTGACTTTATCCATTGTTCCTGTGTTCTAGTATTCAGTCACATGGGGTTTTACTCAAGATACAGGCCTCTTGACCTTGGTAAGAAAAGTATAAGGTAAAGTAATGCAGAGTAATGGTAAGCTGACCATTTCTGTGTATGCCAAGCTTACATGAAATATCAAGGCAAGCTAAATTACCACTTGTCCCACTTTTTCAACTTTGTATACCCCTACTGTACGAGTACCGTATCGTAATTCTAGGATTACGGATACTGTACGCGGGTGGTAATAATGATACCATACGGTATCCCATCAGCTCCCGAAGGGCCTCATGCATGGTGTCAAGCTAGCCTACGCTTGCTCCCACTGGCTCGATGCTAACTAATCAAAAGCTAGTCACATCCGACATACATACTACTCGTACCGCTACTCGCACCAGTATCGGTATCATATGCCTAATCAGCTCGGCCGGTCAGCTAGCATTAACCACTCTACCAACCCCGTGAAAGCTCCTGTAATCCAACTACCTCCGACCCGCCCGGCGACCCACTGTAGGTTTGGTTTGATAGGTTGGGAGGGTTGCGAATATCGGTTAATGAGGCCAAATACATCTAGTGGGCTGTTGATCTTATACTGCGTTAGGAAAGCCCTGATCCTTCCTGGGAGCTATGATATGACTCAGGATCAGGAGATATGTGGATTCCGAGGGTTTTTACGGGAATAGGCGATTCGAAATCCCGCACCCGCTCCCCACTTCTGGCCCGGAAGGATATATATGCATTCGAGCCCCTACCTCTCCCACCACCACCAAATACCACCCTCCTCAACATGCCTACATTCTACCCCTCCCTCACCGAAGACCTAACAACCTGGCTGCAGGCGCAGCCCCTCTTCTTCACAGCCTCGGCGCCGCGCTATGGCAAGCACATAAACCTCTCGCCGAAGGGCTTCACTTCTCGCTCCTTCCGCGTGCTGGGACCGAACCGGGCAGCGTACCTGGACGCTACGGGCTCGGGTTCGGAGACCATCTCGCACGTCTACGAGAACGGGCGCGTGACGGTGATGTTCACGTCCTTCTCCGCCTCACCGCGCATACTGCGACTATTCTGCACCGGGCGGGTGGTGGAGGCCGGGGACGCGGGGTTCGAGGAGATTGCGCGGCTGTTCGGCCCGCAGGGGGAGGAAGGAGGAGGGGAAGCTGGGGAGGCGGTGAAGGGGGCCAGGGCTGTGATCCTGTTGGATATTTTCAAGGTGCAAACGTCGTGCGGGTACGGGGTTCCCATTGTGGAGGGGGTTGTCGCCAACGGAGGGGAGGCGAAGGGACGGTTCGGGGAGAGGGATACCCTGGAGAGGTGGGCCGAGAAGCAGATCGAGAAGGGGGGTTTGGAGAAGTATCGGGCCGAGTGGAATTCCGGCTCGCTGGACAGGCTGCCCGGGCTCAGGAGCGCGCGGAGGGAGAAGGGCGAGAGGGTGCTCTGGGTTGGGGATCTGCTGACCAGGGTGAGGAGGGTTGGATGTGAGTGGGAGGGGTTGCTGGTTGGGTTGGGAGTAGGCATTGGGGTTGGGCTTGGGTTGCAGAGGTTTTTGGTGGGGAGGTAAGCAGTGTAGTGTAGCCTAGTATGGTAGCGGATAGTGGACATCTCCTGTCACTCGAGAACTGGAGGAAGGAAGTGTGAAGATCCGGTTAAAATTTCAACCAGTAAATATTTACCTAACATTTTCACGGCCCGTAGGGCGCATCACTTACATCCCCGTGACACAGCCGGTCATCATACTCCTCCCTCCCCAGAAGAAAACAAAACAAAAGAAGTCACCCCGTGGAACCCATGAGCATAAACTTCCACATAGCCCCCTCCCGGACAACACCACCAGCCCCACCCAACAATTACGACAAGCCATAACCAACCAGAACTACCCGCAGGAAATACACCCGCACTCTTAAGCCCACACTAGGATTCCTAGACGCAACAGGGGGTCGTAAATGGCGGTACCACGAACCGGATCATCACACAGCCCACTTGCACACTGATATACCATGCGAGTCTCGGAACAAATGCATTATCATTAAATTTTATACAAATAATCCAATGTCAGCCGTAGGGACCAGGGCGCTACTCGGAGTCCATCGTAATTCCCTAACGTTATAGTTTCTCACCCGGATGTGGAGTAGTAGTGAGTGAACGCTTGACGGGTGGCGGGGGGCTTTTTTTTTTGCAATAGTGCTCTGCACGTTTGTATCGTATCGTATCGAGATCCTACGAGGGGTCGAGCGGCTGGTGGCGATAAGGTACAGTACAATATGAGCATGAGTAGCTTGGTTCCTAGCATCCCTGTATCCTCCAGCTGGTAAATCCTTAGTATTATATCGAGATAGCGAGTTTCCGCGAAGGTGAGGGCAACTCCGATCCAGCGGCTGGGTGTGGTATCCTGTATCATACGATATACGTTGGCTCGGCAACCGGCCGCGACGGGAAACGATATATCGACGAGGTGAGAGTTCTCGTTGGGGTTTTTTTTGAGTGAAGCCATGGCTATCAGCGGTGGCGATGATGATGATGATGATGCCCGCTGCGGTCATGTACTCTACGAGTACTATAGCGAGCGACCAACTTACATTGCATTACTATATTGGATGAACGGGATGTTGGTCGGATAGGGAAGGGAAGCGAATCGCTTTGCATGATATGCGAATTTTTTGTTCGATTCCTCGCTGCGGGGTGAGTTTTTGGTACGATAATAGTTTCCACTTCGGTAGGTCTTTTTTTTTTTTTTTTGGTACCGAGGGTATGATATCATATTTGCTGCTATCGCAATCATGGGGAGTCACTCGCTGAGGGCAAAAGGATTTCGTGATAATCCCCTCCCGCACAGACTATGATACCCTTCACGGCTGGTTTCTCACTACAACCCTTTCCTTTCTCCGCTTCCTCCTTTTGTAGATAGTTTAGGCTTACCTTTTCCCCCTCGTCCCATTGTCCTTCTTTTGTTTTCCTACTGTATCTTTCTTAGATCGAGGATTTGTGACAAGCCCACACACCTGTGTATATGGTCAAGCTTGTTTTCTATTTCTCCCGCTACACACAACTGCACCTTATTCCCCGGTTTTGTCGCAGACGAGGCGTGCAAAGTGAAAGATCGAAGGGGAAGTGATGGAGGACTAGGAATGTATCGGAAGCATACACCTTTTGGGTCTGAACCCATTGTCCCTACCGCCCGGACTTGGGATGCCAATTCGCCCAACGAAATTACTGTGATAAATTGTGTAGAGTGAACCAACACCGGACCATCGGCTTTGCAAACATCAAGGCCAGGAATTACAAGCACACACCTCCTTTCCTCTGCTGAGCTCACCGCGCCAAATAGCTTATCCCCTACGACGATTCGAGCAGCGAAAAATGGAAACGTCTCGGGCTTTCCGTCGTGATCCCAACCCCTTTTAACGAGTCCGGCTACCGATTCGCGGCTTGAAATCCTCACCTGGACCCCACCGCTTGAGCCGTTTATACGGTATTAAATCATCTAAATATACAAAATAGACAATATAGGGTACTGGCTTCCGCAAACTCATGAATATCGAAGTTGGCCCGAAGGTGAATCTGACAATTCTGCCTTTTTCCGCCAAGGAGACTCAGGTATAGACACAGTTCACAAGAGGTAAGAGAGGCGGTCTTCCGGGAACGAGTATATCTTTCGGTGCACTGTCGGAACAAGTCGTTGGTGGACCGAAAGCGGTTTCTAGCGGAACAGTCTGGGCTTCTCTGGACCAGAGGATGGCGGTAATTGGCGGAAGAGAACTACGACTCGCGGCGGCTCTAGAGATGATGCGTACTCCCTCATCCTCACAGCACACACCCGCATTTTATGATGCCCTGGACGGGTGCCCCCTGCAGAACATAGGATGACGGATGGAGTTCATTGTAGATATGATAGAGTTTTAAAAGGATATATACCGGCCCTGAAACCTGCCATCGGTGTCGCCGCAACTTTCACCCAGTGCAGATCCCACCCCCGCACGAGCGTTGGTTCGATAGTTTCTACCCCAACCAGACATGAAACTATTTCCAATCATATATCGAGAACGGCCCTTCATGAACGAATTCCTCGCGGGAACGCAGTTGGAGCGCTGACCGACCGGCCGGCCAACCGCCGAACCGTGCCCTATTCTCTCCAAGGCCAGATCCGGGTGCTATACTGAGTGAATACAGAGCTTGCATTTCATTGCTTTTTCATTCTCCTCGTCCTTTTCTTTCATTACCAAGCTTTACTTCCCATCCACCCTCTCCCCCTCCCCGGATATTCACCTGCGGGTGAAGTTGTGCACTGGATTTATGCCCCAAGTGCTGTTTTTAATAATTAACGGTGGTGGGATAGATAGACTAATTAAGAGGCGTGAATGTTTGCGGTTTTCTGGACACGGTACTGTCGCAATATCAAAGGCCGGATGGTGCAGCTTTGCCGATCACAATACATTCCTTGAGACAATAGTATCGGGTCGCAGTCACTAGGCCAGACTCACAAATTGTCAGGCAGGATCACCCTTCCATGCCCTCCCTGTCTCCAAATATACAAGACAAGCAGACAACTGGAGAGCACTGTACAGTGACGGTTTAAGAATATACAAGTCAGCGCTGATAAGCCCGAAAAACACCCTTTCGGGGGATTTGAGACACGCTTTATCGTCTATGATACATGTTAGAAATGCCAGCAGAGCATCTTACCCCCCCCCCCCCCCTTCCTTTCCACCCACAAACTTCCCCCCAAAGCCCACACATACTGGAATGTCAGTGAAAACCAGAAACTCATTTCTCCCGATAACCTACAATTCTCTGTAGACAAGGGTTACGTTCTCCGATTTTTCCGGACACGCCCGAGTAATATAACTTAGCCCAATCACGACCGATCACTCCCCTCGAGCCTCGAGGGTAAAGTTTGCTTCCCCCGAGCCCCAACCCAATCTCCAATCAGCCCAATGGGCCAGCCTAGACACTCGTATCATATCATGGAAAAGGAAAGCCTCACAAACCCATCCAAACTCAACCCTAAACTTGCCCTAACTACCCCGAAAATATGATATGTCATACTCGTCATGTTGCACGAGAGGCTTACAGTACTGTACCCTTCTTCCCTCCCTCCTTAACTCCGCACGTGCACTCGAGCATGATAATATATGATAGCTTGCACCACCACCACCACCACGCCTCAACCCCGATCCGATCCGAGGCAGCCCAACCAAGCCCAAACCCGAACCGACCACCGGAAAACCCCAGTTAACTCAACTCTGCATAATATGGACACATAGACACCTTCCAGTATTCCCGTTTCATTGAACGTGGGGATTTTGAAAGCCGTAGGGCGGTGATGATGATCCCGGTCCTCATGCATCCACGGCACGACTTACCCAATATCAAAAGTTCCATCTGATCATCTGATAACCCATCCAATCAGACATTTACTTCCCTCTCTCCTACGCCCGGCGACGGCGAGACATCCATAGCAAGCCAGGAAGGGTGGAAGGAAGCACGAAAGAAGGGAAGAAGGGGGGCGAAAGCGGAATCAATAGGCTTGGTTGGAAATAGCGAGGAAAGCTTCCTGTCAGATACCCACATTGCCGAGAGTTGGGATTAATTGGGCCGAAGGCTACCGTACAGACAAGCTACAAAAGGAGGAAATAGCTTCCAACTGCCCCGAGGTCTCGAGTCCGCGCTAGCTTGTATGCACCGCACTGTGCGAGGACGTATGGATGGGGTTGCACAACGCATCCTACGCATGAGTGCAGCACGTCCGGGCGTATGCGATGCATCAAGTGAAATCAATGAATGATATAATTTAGGAATCAAGATGGCATCACAGACCGGGGTACTTTACCCTGCCCTATCCTGCCCCCCAGTATGATAAGATAAGATGAGTTGAATATGTACTTTCCGCCTCGATTAGTTAAGTTATGTACCATAGACAAGGAAGAAAGAGACAAAGTCAAGCTATAGGATGAAGAAACGGGGAAGTATGAAAAGCAGCGCCGTACCAATCCAATTCGACAGCGAGCCAAAAAAAAAAATACAAAAATACAGCTGCGATGGTGTGACCAAAGTGGCATGCAAACATACAAAAACACAAACATACACAGACCCGGCTATGAAAAGGAAAGGATATGAAATGAAGATGGCAAAAAGCGGACTTGTTTACACAGTTCGGAGGGTCAAAGTAGTAAAAACAATAGAGAAAGAAAACCATAATAAAAATAAAAATAACTTATGTGCGGACAATCGGGAGTAGAAATAAAGAGAAATAGCTATTTATAATGCAATGTGAATGCCCGTTTTTCTCCTGGTTGCTTCCCCCTTCGGCAATAAAACACGGGGCACGAAACGGAAACAAATCCGAGCACCAACCCTTTTCCGTCTTCCCACTTCTGCCAACTAGAAAGAAAGAAAGGAAAAGGGGGAGTAAAGAGAAGAAAGCAAAAGCAAAAAGCAAAAAAAAAAGAAAAAAGACAGCCGTCCGGAAAAAAATCAACATGCAGCAAAACCAAATTCAATCGCTATTCCCCACTTGCATCAATCGTAAACTCATTCCCACGGCTTCCGCGGCGCCACATGACTACCAGTCTATGTTGAAACCTCCCCAAGATCCCCAATCGTGTCCCAATCGGGCCCAATGTCGTCCCTCTGGTGACCACCTCCGTGGCCGCCTTCCTCGCCTCTTTCAACCCACCCTTCACCCTTGGCCTCTCGCCAGATGCTCTGAATATACTTTTGCAGCGTCCTTAGACCTCGCAAATACCCTCTATCAACGCCTTCCCGATCCTTAGGCGGACATGTTGTAACCTTGGGCAACGGATCCTCGGCTGTAACACAATTGGCAAAGTCCACAATCTTGAGGTCGATGTTCCTGTCGTGATCCATGCCATCATATATCATGAGCAAACTGCTAGCATAAAATCGGTAGCCAGGAAGTCCCCTTATCATGGCTTCTAGCGCTCTGAGCTTCTCCAATATAGTAGGGATGTGGCGCAAGATGGAACTATTGGTTTGGCCATCGTAGAGGAAGCGGGTAAGTGCAGACTGGAATTCACGCCCGGCCTTGAGATCTCTACCGAAATACTTGTCTTGAAAGAGATAGGTCTGCTCCTTCATGTTCCAAACCTGCATTCCACAAAGCCGAACACCTAAATCACGGGAGGTGGTAACGGCACACTTATTGGCTTGTGATTGTTTTTTCTTCTTGGAGGCTTCGACGCCATACTGCCGGGTTCCCATCTTGAGGTCCAGGACACAAGGCCTCTTCATGCCTGCTGTCAGGTCCTCGAGGAGAAGGAAATGCTCCACCCGTTCAATGGGCTGCTGGGGCACTTCTTTGGGTATGGGGATATCTGGAGCTTCGTTGATAGCGACAGGGTCCAGGGATTCTGTTCTCAGGGCGAGAGGCAATGGAGTGGGATGAGGCTGCTGTGTCTGTGAGGTGTTTTCCGGGGCAGTGAAGCAGACCGGTGGTGGCGTTGGCGCTCTTCGGCTCAAACATCTGGTTGCCCAAGTCTTCTTTCCAGCTGGCGTGCCTTCATCCTCATCCATCTTAAACACTTCGTCTTCCCGGTCACCTCTGTAGCCTTCATCCTCCACAGCACTATCACGAACTGGTGGGCTCAACGGTTCTGGCTTGTCTGCCCTTTTACATATGTTGCCACTCGACCGCCTTCTCGAAAAAACAGCCCTCCGCCCTTCGGTTGTTGTCGGGGATCTGCTCAAGCAAGATCCAGCATTGCCACTGGCGTCGCTGCTCTTCGAAAGCGCCCTCAAATCTGTACTCGAGGCGTGTCTCCTCTCCCCTTCATTGCGAACAGATGTGATTTTGCGATCCTCGGGGAAGGCTTGATGCCGGTGGGATGGTCCGAGATCTGTGCTACTCCTCCTGAAACTAGATCTGCATCCTCTGCCGTCGGGGCTCAAAGGTGATCCGTGATGGTGTCGATGACCATGGGAGTGATTGCAATTGTAATGGCGTGGCCTTGAATGCGAACGAGTGTAGTGATGGCCGCGGGGAATAGGCGGGGATCCAAAAACTTCCCTCAATACCTGTTCCTGCAATTTGCGATTCACCGAAGTAGCACCCCAGATAGACTTTTTTGGATGGGTTTCGCCCTGATTGGTTTCATTGCCGTTATCTGTAGCATTTGCCTCCAATGTATCCGGCGCAGCCACTGCGTTTTCCTGCCCTTTCCCCTGAGTTGGCCCCGGCGATGGCCCCTCTTTGTCACTACCAGAATATGCTGGGTTCGAAGAGTAGGATGGGGCGCTGGCCGAAAAGCGAAAAAGATTTTCAGGAATAATGTGTCTATTGTTCTCGAAGACCACCTGGGGGAGGGGGAAAGGTGCGCCCCCAGAGGCCGCCTCCGAGTTATACACAACATTCGGGGCCTTCGTAAACTCTGTCTCAATTGGCCGAGGGTCAGCACCGTTTTTGCCATTCCTAGCAGAGGCCTCGTTTTCCGCGGCCAATCCGTTAATCTCAAGCGAGCTCGTTACAGCCTCCCTTTTGATGCTCTTCCTCTTCTTTGGCGCCTTTCTAAAGGTAACGTTAAGAACTCCAATGTACCTAAACATAGTAAAACACATATCAGCCCTACAACGTCCTGCAAGAAAAAAAAGGGAACGATCGAAAACCGGAACACAGCTACAAATCATCATCAAAAGGTTAGAGAAACATAGGCTTACTTTGGTAGAAATCCTAAGAGCTGTGGATGCCTCTTCTCAACAGCTTCATAAAACTCATTTTCTTTATTACTCAAGCTTTTACAAACAGCTCTGCGGGAGAATCTGAACAATGCTGTATGGCCTCCAACCTGATGATTGTATGGCTTTAACTCCACAGCACCCAAAGGAACTTGAGGCACGGCCTTCTGCGGGGCGCTAGAAGCATGCTGCTTTCGGTTCCCAAGAGCTTGGTCGTATTTGATATGAGGGCGCCGGGCAATAGGCGTAGCAGTTGGAGTGGTATCTTCAGCCTCAGATAAAGCAGTTCGATAGCCACTCCCACTACGATCATTCTCGCCATTTGAAAGCTCATCGTAACTATCGGAAAAATCAGAAAACCCTGACGCAGCCGACGAATAGCCCTCTGTATTGGAGTGATAACCCTTGTAATCATCCTCCGCGACTACAGATTGTCGGCGACCTTGGTAAATGTATTCGTCGTCCCCAGATTGGATAGATAAATCGAATTCTGGTCCTTCTTCACGGTCCTTATGCCGTATATCATCATCCTTCTGTTTATCAGTCTCGATTAACGGCCTTTGTGAGACCGAGTTACTGTATTGACCCTTCACCGGACCCGCCTTATGACCAATTGAAGAGTCTGTGGTACGAGACGGAGCTGGATGCGGGATGTATAGGGCAGAGGAGATTTCATCTTTATCAGATTCTTCCTCTTCATCGTCATCGTCCTCCGGGTGGTCTGGCCTTTCAATCGGTTCAAAGTCGTTGGGTATTTCTATGGATAAATCTCGACATCCGGGAAAAGGGAATTCGTTGCAACTTTCAGGAACCACCGTTGTAATCGAGGAAGGGGATGAATTTTTAGAGCCCACGCAGACACTTGATGAATCACCGTTTGTGAGGGAGATACTCTTGAGGGCAGAGTCCAACCCAGAATCAGTCGTCGACTGAGTCCCAGAAGGCCCATTCCCATCAACTGCTCCACAAACAGGACCGGAATAAGAGGCCGGTATGGATGATTTATCAGAAACTTTGGAAGAGAGCTCATCACTTGATGATTGAGAATATGCATCTTTCGTACTTTTGACTGAAGGAACATTAGAAGAAGGGTCTAGAGGGGGGGTATTATTCTCCTCCATTGTCTTGCCTAACTGTGTGACAGAAACCATTCTTCCATTACCTTTTAACCTCTCCTTCCTCTCCTTCTCCTTTGCACGTTGCTTCTCCTGTCGCTCCCTCTCCTTCTCTTTTTCTTTTTCCTCCCGCCTCAGTTTCTCTCTCCCACGTTCCTCAATGGCCTGTTCATTCTCCCGGAACAGCCCAAGTCTTTGTGTTGCCTTCCTGCTACGAGAGTTGCTCTCGCTAGCCATAACAGCAGCAATAGATCTCCCGACGTCGTCTTCATCTTCCCGGATGGGGCTGTTCTGTATCGGAAAAGTTGCCTCTCTATCGACATCACTTCTCGCACCCCGTCGTGTTACAGAAGTGGCTGGTTTTTCGTCGAAATTAATAGGACTATCGAGGCCAAGCTGGGCCCTAAGAATAGCATCAGAGCCATCCCCACCAGTAAACTTCGAGAAGGGGGTTCCAGTCAAAGGAGTGGAGGGGCGTTCAGTTGGACTGTCGGCAGGGCTTATATAAGGTGGAAGGGTGATGTGAGAGTTCTTTTCCTTCCCACGACAGGAAAACACATAACCGTCTTTATGGGATTCAGCAATTCCGGTATCCGGACGTGTGCCTCCACCGAGCGTAAATTTAGCCTCTAAAGGGAAGGATGTAGATTGAGGTCTCCAATAGCGGAATGGAGGACGAGACAAATCAGCCTCATCGTAGGAATTTCCGTAAATGGGTTCACTGGGACCAATGCCTGTATTCTCGACAAAAAGAGAGGGTGATGATGCAGATGAAGAAAGAGTAGTTGACGAAGTAGAAGTTTGTGAGGCAGAAAGGGTATCGTCAGAACTTGAAGGCGTATCGAAATGACTGCTGATTGTTTTATGTTCTTCGCCACTATCAGCAGTAAATGGCGAGGAAGTAAGAATTGGAAAAGTTCTAGAACGGACAAGACCTGAAGGGGCCAAAGGAGAGTCCTTTAGAGGTATGGGGTCATGGAACGGGACTGGCATGAGGAGTCATTGAAGCCTGCTGGAAGCCAGGTAAACTTGGGGGAAAAAGTGTAGAGAGATGACGTTATCGTGAACCCTGATATAACCGGGGAGAGGGAAATGGAGAGTAGACAAGCGAAGGGGAACTTTTGCGCCCGAGGCCTGGGGCAAGATGTTGTTTCCAAGATAACTCTGGCGTAAGTAGGGGCTCTTTTAGAGAGAGGAAGGAATGGGGGGGAAAGAGGACAACCTTGTGATCCCCTTGCTTGCTAAAGGATGTGTAGGAGTATGGTGGCTATGTAATAGAAGGAGAGGTGTGTTGGAGGCGGACAGCGGTGAGGGTTGAGAGAGTTGAGCCAAGCAACGGATAAAGCAACACAGCGGACACCTAAAGGAGAGCTCCAGCCAACGGGTTCAACGACCAGAGGGCAAAGTCCACAGTAACCAAACAAAACAAAAATGTATAAAAAGGGGGAGAAATCCAGTTAGTGGAAAAAGAGGATAAGAAGAGAACCCAAGGATATGTCCCCATGCCAGCACAAGTACTGGTACAGCACTTGTACGGTACCGTGCAGTACCATACTGGTGCTTGTAGAGCAGAAAAGAAAAAAATCCAGTCCCAAAACAAAGCAGAGCCCAAAGCACCGGACACTACAATCGTCGCTCTCTCCCTTCGCCCTGACCCAATCGAAGAAAGCACCCGCCGGTGGCTATACAGCTACTCGCTCGTAGGGCGTTTTCCCCACACCGACAAACGACGAATATTGCATTCACATCCACATCCACATTCACGTTCACAAACAATAGTAGTAACCCATCACCTCAGGCCCCCGCGGTGTTGTGTCCATACGGCGATGTCCCCAGTCGAAGACGGCCCCATACAAAGTTGGGCCATGTAGCAAGTTATCGTCGGCGGGCCAGGCTGTCTATCCCCAACGTGTTTATGCATGTTACAGCTCTTTTCCGTCACGGACACATTTCATTGGTTCTCCTCCCCCCGATCGGGGCACAGTGCATGGGAGAGGGCCGACGCCTGGCCAAGGACCTGGTAGAGCAGTTCCTGAACCCCAAAAATTCCAAATCCGGTGTCGATACGATGTCTGCCTGAGGATTGATGGTGGCTACCGGTATTCGAGTACCGTACAAGGACAGCACCGTCATCGCACACTTGGTTTATGGAGAAGAAAAGAAAAGAAAAGGTGTGAAAAACTAAAATGAAAAAGAAGTGAAGAAGAGAGAGAGAAAAAGAAAAAAAACGCACAGTCTTAGAGTCCGAGGCTCCGAGCCACCGGGTCCCCTCCTCACAGCGCACGACCAATCAATCCTGAGTTATGAGCAGCATGACAAGTCGATTGGAGTCTATCTTCGGTTTCGTTACATGAACGAGCAGTACAGACGGATCGATCTCACGATTTCAGTGACCGAAACTGTCTTCCCTGTTTAAGGTCCAAAGATGTAGTCGCTTTCAGCCACTGCCGAAGGTACCTGAAAAAAAAACTGCGGGATTTATCTTCTCCCCTCATACCGGTAGGCCCCTATCCGACAACAACTTTTTGTTACCTTGTTCACTTGCGGTACCGGTATTGTAGTCTACAAGTGAGAAACCTCTGCAATTCGGTGGTCAACCCCCCACCACAAGGATATGCCGAGTACCACACAGAATGGTAAGAAAAACAAAAAAAATGGAGGCTCGTGTGATGTTGGTGATTTTCACTCCTTTCGAATCCCTTTGCTTGGGCCATCAGATTGTTTCACTGTCTGCTGACTCCTCAAGAAACCGTTGAATCTCCTGCAGTTGACCCCGCAATTCTAAGTCACTATCTGGCTTATTTACCTAGGTAAGTAAAAGCCACTGCTCTCGGGTGTCTGTGTGATCGTACCATCTCGGACTGCACCGTTTTGGACGGGCGGGAGTGCTTTCCTCGCCACTCAGCGTGCTCGTAGTTCGGTGCCCCTACTGAGCCCATACTTACTTGAATAGTATCGTGGTACCGGTGCTCAGCTGGTATGATACTCGATTGTCACACTAACAGTGTTCCAGGATCCACCGTATCCAGGCTTATCGACAATAACGCTGGCAGCTGGTACCTCCATCTCTAGCCTCCAGGTGCTCCAATGCCATCCAATTCAGGTGGAATAAACTTTTTAACCTGTCCCCTCCACTTGCGCACCTTAGGATTAACTTGAGTAATCATCGCCAAAATGAGAGTGGCCAGCTCTGGTTATGCAGCTGTCAATGGTACAATGCTTATTTCTATATGCACTATGGTGTTGGCCACTTCCCCATGGATGAGATCTCATCGAGGACGGGCCTCCTCTGACCAACAACTAGCGACAATCCTTATTCGATGGCTAAGCAATATCCATCCTACCGTACTGCAGATTATAACATGTGGGTTCCCCCCCTTCGGATTGTGGAAAGAGGGAAAAAAAAAAAGAGCGAAACAAAGAACTGAAGAAACTTCCCGGCTACCTCCCCGCAGCTTCCCATTCCGCCACCCATTTTCAGGCAGACATACGGATATTCGAGTGGTAATACAGCGGTGACTGGATTTTGAAAGGGTCGATCAGCTCAATGGTGCACGCCCCACTGCCGGCGCAAGTGCTCGAGTGCCGGCAGAAGACACATACCGGTACTGTACTAGTACTGTACCGTACCGTACTGCGCCGCACTGTACGGTACGAGCACTAAAGCACCAATAACCCCTTGCGGTCAGCAGCCGCGAACGCAGGCGCAAATTGTGTGCACCACCAGACTCGATGTTAACGATTGGGCTGACGCGTATGATACGGCCGGAAACCCTATCTCCAATCTCCACAATACTGCATTGGAATAGATCAGCTCTCTCCCACTCGTATTGACCTTTACGATTCTCGACACGCCGAGCTTGCTCCATAATTCTCCTCGAAACCTATCCGCTGGGAGCCAAGGTCTACTGTACGGTATTCCATTTTTTACAAGTCGCTTGGCCGAAGCTCTAAATCCTCAGACGGGCCCGCATCCTAAAGCATATGCATCCCTGAGTAGAATTTTGTACCCGATACTAACGTTATCTCTAGAGGCTCCTCACTCCATGATGACCGAATTTCAGCAGCGTCGTTTTCTCCTGATGAGAATACCGTAGCATACTGTACTGTACTGTACTGTACTCAGTATTATTAGGTGAACAATGAACAGGAGGATACAACGAACAGCCCTGCCGGAACCTGAATCTTGGCACCAGATTTCTGGTGTATCTGTTCATTCTCCCCTTGCCCTACCACCTTTTGCGATTCCCAGCGATTCCTTATCCGCTTATAGCCGCAGCCCGTGGAACATAGTCTAAACCACTGGAGAACTCCGAGGCGGGCTATTTTCATATCATTACGAACATCCAACGAATTAATTCGTTCAGCACTACAATTAAAGTTATTTAAGGAGTAATGTTCCCGGAAGTTTACCAAGATGCCCCGGCATGATGGCCGAAGGGCCTGTCCTCAATTTGCGGGGATAGCCCAACCTTTCAGCAAGACCCCTCTGGCCAAGTGGGGTTAAGATCATATGTTCTTATATTACCGGTATATCTCTGGCGATTCTTCCGGCTGCGTCTCCCCTAAATGATTGAGGGTTTGAGTCTGGTTGACTATAGACACAAGTTAATATCACCGACAACCCAGTGACCCTTCACTACCGAGTGGTATGCTTATAGGATGGGGCAAGATGGGATGGAGCGAGCGTGAAACTTGCGCTATCTAGATGCCGACTTCTTGAAGGGTTTGAGTAAATGAAGAGCATCCTCATTCAACATATCAATTTGCGGACTAAATACTCCCCAGCTTTCACCAGTCACCCCTACCCAAGCAATGTAATAATTGAGAATGCAGGGTTTAAAGTGGGGAATGACATGGATTGACAATCGCATTCGTACTTGAGAACTGGAATTGGTTTGCCCAATGGCTCTCGGGATTTCCTGGTCATTCAAAAGTTTCAACTTATGGTGGTGATTCTATGTTACATACACTTGCAGAATGCAATGCCATATGAACCATAGCATAACCAATACGAGGATTTCCCCGGACGCCTCCCGCGGGCACACCTTCACAACACCAGTTCCATTGAGAGTGGCCATGCATCGTGTATTCTATTAAAGGGGCGACATGAAATGTGACTTAAAGCTTTCCCCATGATCGGGATATACAATGCAAGATTATTCATTGCAGAGGTGAGGGTGTGGGAAACGATATTCATGCATGACCGGGAAAATTGTGGTTCGGACAACCGTATTCTAGAGCTGCGCAAACAAGGAGCAAACGGAAGTCTTGGGGCATTTTTAGTGCATGATACGATAAGTTATCCAGCGACTGAAGGTCAGGACTGGAGCACGTGGCAGCAACGACTGGCTACGAGTGGAGATAGCATGCCTAGCATATACGGGTAGTTGTAACAATATGGATGATTGAAATCCTTGTCTCTAGTCATTGGTGCTCGGCCGCACATCCTCCCACCGAACGGCAGCGAGCCGGAGCATTGGGAGATAGATGATAGACATGATTTACCCGCCGGAGAGCCTTCTGTTTATCCAACATTTTCATTAAGCCTACGCTCTCGGTATCTCTTACACAATGTCAGAGCTTCGGGGGGGGTCTCTCTTTGTTTTTTTTTTTCTTTTTTTCTTTTCACTCCGTGAGGCACTGAAAGGCCGAACAAATGATTTCGGGAAGCAGTGCCAGAAATGAGCGGCCCATGGAATATCAGTTCTAGGCACCGGCATAGTTTTTCCAGGCCTACGACTTTGAAGGGTACTCCTCACATACTGAAGTGTCGTTTCATACCCTACTATAACATGATATTATGATACCTTACAACATATCTCCAACAAATCATGGTGCAGGAATTAAGATATCAAACCCCAAGCGGCCATCAGCCACCAGTACCACTCATTCATCCTTCCGACAGCAGTATTGTTGAAGTTAAGGACCAGTGTGCCCATTCTTGAGTGAAATAATGTTTGGGCTGAATAGCTGTTATGAAACCCCGCCAGTAGGGTATCCACGCCCCGCTGCCAGAATTCTGAAATAACTTTACCATTCCTTATCGGAAGTTGGGCAGTCCACATCTGCATCACTACGCCAGCGATCGGACCGAGCCGCACCAAAGCAGCCTGAGAATGCTCAGAGAGGGCTCGCTGGATAACATATACCCGGGTAACCGAATCTCTCTGTGCGGTGCTTAAGCTGTGATTTGACCATTCCCATTTCCAGAACAAAGGGGGGGGTTTTGCCATTCTGAGCTCGAATCGTTCGCTCAGAATGAGCACGGGCCACCTGTGGCCAATGGTAGCTTTCCTGTCTGAATGCTTCACTTGGAACGCGCGCTGGAGCTTGACCCCGATATTTTCTTAGCCGCGACCAGCCAACCCCTCGCAATGGGAAGCCTCAAGCCCTAACCCAACAGGGGACAAACAGGAGCTCAACTGGCCAGACTTATTTTGTGACGCTACGGGGGGTCTCGTGGCGGGATCCGGTGGATCTAGCGGTTTTTCCCGGTTCACAACCTTCTGGGTTAGAGCTATGACGGAATTGAGGCCGTCCTTGGTGTCATGTTGCTGAATTTTCATTAGGAGTGATATTCTTGGGTTTCTGATGCAGCGGGTTCCCAGCGTTTGATATAAATGCTTATTGAAGATCCCAGAGGGGGGGAGGGGGAGTTCGGCCGGGCACCGAACACCTACAATATCACTGACAAACAATTTCAAGCCAGCTCACACTATCAAGTTCTGGTGGGGGGGGGGGAAACCGGGGCACATATTCTGGCCAACATTTCAGGGGGAACATGTTTCTGACAACCCACTTTATATTCCCGGACAAGTTTCAATAACAGCTTTGCTCAACCTGATCCCGTGCATTGATGACATGGCCCATGGCCCCGTTTTACCCTCCTCTCGTAATAGTGTTGCGCTTCCCTTTTTGCTCTTGGACAGTCTGTGCTTTTGTCCGTCTCCATGAGATGGAGCTCGTTCGGCTCCAAACGCCCTTTCAAGGAGCTCCTACGTGTAGCCATATGGTCCGGTGAAATGAATTGCGGCTAAGATAGCTCTTTGTTTCTCTCTTTCAAAGGATGTTTTATGATCCCGACGATCGGGTGTGGGGCAGGGGCGGTCCCCCTCGGGTTCCCTATCCATTACGAGATATTGGGAGATTAGATAAGGAAATTAAGGAAATACTACCGTATACAAAGTAAATCGAGGCGAACAAAAAAAGACGTGATTCTAGGCCCATGGAATTCTCAAGGAGCGCCCACAAAAAAAAGCAACACTTCAGGACTGCCGGTATTCTTTGTCTTGGGCTGCCACCCTAACGAGGCAGCCGTGCGAGTGATTGCGGGTGGATCTACCGGAAGGAGTGATTAGAGATCTAGATGGCATCACGTGAAACGCCCGACGCGTAAATTGAGATCAGATAAGCTACGTCTTCCCACCACGCGGCGGGTTTGTCCGTTCCTATACTCTTCGCGTCTCCCACCACAACCACTTGCACCCCCGCCTCGTGTCCCCCTCGGCTGACCTAACCACATTCAACACAAAGGGGGACGAAATCCACAATCATGCCTCAAAAACCGTATCCACCCCTCCCCGGGAACCCAATTCTTCTCCCATCCCCTTCAGATATTATACTTGCCGTTGATTCCTCGGATGAAGAATCGCCTGCCGCCCAACAAGCCAAGAATCAGCGGATCTTGGGGCATGCCCAGAGTTATCTCAACGGCCAACCGCTATACATCCACTCTGCACGACTGCGAGGCCCGGTGATAAACAACCCTTGGGGGAAGGGGGCTAAGCAAACAAAGAGAAAACCTGTGGCCCAGATGGAAGAAAAGCACAAGTCGAAGAAGCGGAAGGCTCTGTGTGAGGAAGATGAAAGGGAGGTTCTCGGGACTCCTACACAACAGCCGGAGTGGGCTGTATGGGGCACTGAGGGGAGGAGGGGTAATAGGAAGGCTATTCTGGAATCTTCACCCGATGCTGAAGAGCTCTTACGGTCAGCCTGCTCGAGTCTTGGTGAATCAGTCGCCTCCCAGCCGATTACGAACCGTGATGGGGTACAGAGGAAGGAGGTACAGATGGCCGTGGTGTTTTCGAATGATGTTACCCCTGTGGTCACGCCAGCCAATCGGATGGAAAAACACAAACGGAGACTCCCAACTCCTCCAGCCCTTTCTCCGGGCTCCTTCTACAAGAAATCGGGGACCAGGCCCACACCTAGAGCAGCTTCAAACCCTGCACTAAAATCTGCGTCGGGGGATAAAGCTGAGCCAACAAAACACCCGTCTCGGTCGGTTTCTCATTCACCTGTGTGTGGTAACCAAGGAAGGGCTTCCATTCAGAGTCGTGCATCGCCAGCTGCAGTTTCCCGATCGAAAAGTAGGCCCGGCGAGGTAGATGAGGATGTCATCGCGCCCGAGGCAGACAAGGTGATGCCACCACTGGCCCCTGCGGATGCGAAAAAGAAGCGGATACGAATAAATTTCACTACAATGTCGCCATTTGCGAAGCAACCAACGGGTACCAGGATGGAAGCTAAAAAGACTCCGAAGAAGAGACGGAAAAGGGTTGATAATAGTGGCATGAACAACGACCCGGAGGATCGCCTTTCGGGATCTGTGACCCGAGGTCAGGCGACGAAAGAGCTTTCGATCGTTGGAATTGGGGGGCGGGCAGTTGGAGAGCGTGTGGGCCCTGGTATAAATAAACATGTCGTTGAGAATAGGCAATCTGATACGAACGGCAATGACGCTAGGCTGGAAGCCCGGGACAAGAACGCCGAGATTGTGACATCAGAAGCCTCGCCCATCGGAAAATCCGATTCTCATGCGTATGTGTATCCTGCTGCGGTTCGCCCTCACCGCCCTCAAGTATTCACTTTAACGGGTTGCAGGTCCGAACCGCTGTCATCAGGTAGTGAATCTGTTTCTCTACAGCCCGCTCAGAGAACAACAATCTTTGTATCGCCGTCTCCAATTATGGCAGCCTCTGGAGAGAGATTTACGGGGGGTATTCACTCAAAAGTGACTCATGTTTCAAAGCCGCTCGCCGGGAAGGTGGCCTCCCTTGACCACGCGTCTTCAGCTGATCACATAGGAGGCCAGCAGGCAGATCCAAAGTCAATAGAGAAGCCCCCGGAACGCGACATTGCTGCGATGTCCTCGGCAGTAGCCAGTGAACTCCCACAATCTCATGGACAGAGTTACTTCTCAGCACCCGAAGTGCGGAGGAATGGGGAGGGTGTAGCGGATGAAGACCCGGAACCATACCAGAGCACTCAGACACAATTAATGGCTGCGAAGAGAGGCTTCTTTGACGCCCTCAATGATTCTCCATTCTTTCCACAGTCGAAATTGAGTACTACGACCGAGGGAACACCGAGTGTATTGCAACCAGATTCATTCTTCAATCTCGATGCCAGTAAAACGCCGACGTTGAGTTTTGGCGGAAGTTGGGGAAACCGTGGAAAAATCACTGACACCGACCCAACGTCATTTAAAACGCCTGTGCCACGCAACCGCCGGAAAACATCTAGTGATATTCGGGTCCCGGGAGCTAATCCACCACCGCCTCCGCCGCTGATGGGCGCGGAGTTTGCGGAAACGGTTGGCATTCTCAAACCATCGACTCCGGAAGGAACTACGTTTACTCCATTTGCAGCATTCGCCACACCAAACGGCACACCCGAACCAACTCAGAAAGACATCAGTCCACTAACGTTCTCCCCTATCCGGGATGCGACCCAACACCCACCCCGCGAAGGGTCGAGTACCAAAGCCTATGTAAAGTTTGTAGGATTTGGCTTGCTGGATGAAGACGAAGATGCTACAAGTCTCAACCTTGGGCCGAACAGTTTCCCCGGGCCCGGCCAAAAGGCTCCCGATGATAAAGAAGATCTGGTGAAAGAAGTAATGGGCTTCATGGGTCAGCAAGTCTGGGATATTGATGAGGAGCTGAAGAAGATGGCCAAAGGGAACCAGAGCACCAAAAATGCCGATACCGGGAAGAAGAGAAGAGGTCTTGGAAGGTAGCTGCATTCGGGGAGGTTTCTATTTCTTTCTTTAATTTTTCACCCTCAATATTATTCCTTTGCGTTTGGGTATTCTTCTTGTGAATAGTACATGGGGCAATTACAGGCGCTATTGGTGGGGCGTTTATGGGGGCTGTATTCCGTTGGCCGTGAGGCAGCGTAATGGGAGTGCGGCTGAAGGTGTGGTTGAGGGTGTGAGGTCGGGGCAGTTTATTAGTGGGGTTTGCATTGCCGTGACTCTATGGTGTTATAACTGGATTCTGATGTATTATAGTGGGTGGTATTTGCTGCACAACTAGGAATTAATCGGGGGGGGTCCTCGCCGACTATTACTATGGGCTGGATAGCGTTTGATTTGTATGATGATTGACGAAAACGCGGCGCTCCGGCTACCTAGGACCACCATACACTCCCCTCCCACATCCTTCCCATGCCGTTCAATCGTGTCCTCTAGTTATAGGTTATGATGTAAAATACCGGTAGAGTACTCGTACAGTACAGTACATGGTTTGAACCGCTCCTCTCGGAAGGTAAACCGGAGGTCACCTATAATCGTAATCCGGATACAACCCCCCTTCCCTAACATGTAAATTAGACAAAGAGCGTAATAACTCGCGACGATTCGTCCCCGGATTCCTCGCCCCTTTGCCTCCCAGTTACGCGGGACCGGAAAATGCCATCACCCTTCTTTCCTATCGATGCCATACCCCCATCCTTCCCTCCATTCTGCTGTCCATCTGTATCATCTCCCACGCCTTTCGTCTATATCATTCTTTACAAATTACGCATTGAAAGGATACCGAGTGATCAGAAGATACCGGCACACACGCACATGGGACCGATGGCGACCTAATGCGGTGCGCTTTCGGATGTGTTGAGGGTTTGATGTTTTGTTTTGTTTTGTTTTCGTGGGGGAGGATTTAGTCTTTGTCTATGTGTGTATGATATGTGTGCAATTTTGTAGCCCTAGAGCGAGAGGGGCATCACGGCGTGAACACGGTTCTTGCGGGTGTTGTTATGGAATGTGTCGGTTTCTGCGGGTTCCCGTCCCTTTCTTCCTCCCACTCCCTCTCAGGTGATGAAGGCAGGAATAATTAGGTGAAGGAATGAACGACCCTTCTGGAATACATATGTATGTATAATACCTGGTCCTGTTCAGTTACGAGCGGCAACTTGTGAAATTCCTCTCATCATACCGAGACAATTCGGTGAATTGTGATGGTTGAGAAAGCACCGCACAGTACTGTACTGTACCGTTGTGTGCTCGGGTGTCACTAGGATTTTATGCAGCTCTTTGTCTACTGATTTAAGTTACACTGTGCCGCACTGGAGGTGGACCTGAACCTGGGCTGTGGTTATTACTCGTGTACAGTATCGATGTGCATACGGTATATCTAGTATATATATCGGCTCTTTGGACAGTCTTAGATATCGGGAACGGGAGGTTTATAGTGTCATACTCGTACTGTACAGCGCTGGTATCGTACTGGTATTCATTTCATACATGATGGCTGGATTGGTGATTGTGGCGAGGCCTCACTCACTCGAGATCTCGAGCCTCAGCGCTCGCTCCCGTTATGTTGGGTGTGTCTTGCTTGCTCGCTCGGGTGCTTTGCATGTACTGTAAAAACTTCACCCCTCCCTTTCCTTCCTTGCTTCCTTCCTTCCTTCCTTCCTTCCTTCCTTGCTTGCTTGCTTTCCGCAGGCATTTCCAGAGTTGCAGTGTTTCGGATGTAGGGTCCTCTCCCGACCAGCTAGCCAGCTAGCTAGCAAGAAAGAAGGAAAGAAAGAAAGAAAAGCAGTTTGATCGTATGCATAGGGTAATGACCTTATGAGAGGATCCAGACATACACGTATATAATACTTTCGGCATCTTCAAGGGACAGCACACAATACACTATCCCGAACCCCTTAAGATAGTTTTCCTTCATTTTTCCCACTCCTGCAGCCCAATAGCTTCTCCAGGAGGTGTCGAGGCCCGTCCCGCAGGAAAAAAGAAGAAAAAAAAAAGCCTTCTTTAGCATTTTTTTCTATCGAGTCAGATAACTTTAGCAGTTGCCTCTGTTCCCGCTTCTCCTCCCACCCTCCCTTTTTGGTTTTCATATTCTTCCTTCTTCTGCCCGTTCCGCCTAGCAAGCATTGTAGGTATGCTTACATATCTGCGGGAGGGAGTACTGTACAGTAGGGCAGAGGCAGGAAAGTGGAGCAATATATAACTTACCTAAGATGGATCGTCACCATAAACCTCCCCAACCCCCCCACCGCGCCGCACGACACCACGATGCGGCGCACATAAGGTTTCCCGTGTACCTTCATTCTATCATGATTTCCTCCAGGTATCATGCGCCTGGCGCAGGGCTAGGTAAAAATCCAGATGGTATGGGCCAGATATGGTACTGTACGTCTCGAGGTTTGCGGTGCCAAATTTATATCATACTCGTGGACGTATCGCTCGACGGGATCGTGCACCTGGCATGAGATCGGTGACACAGGACGCGCACAGCACTTTCACTGCGGATGCTTTGTAGAGATAGATACTTGGCCGGGGGATGCGGTTCTTTTTGCTCCACTGTTCAGTGGATATTGAACTGTTGTAGAGCTGTCCGGGTTTTGTGGGGTGGGTGGATGTTCCTTACGCCTATCGTGCTCTATGATATGCGGTTGTTTCACTCGCTCGATCATTTTGGTCGACTCACCCGTACGCTTGGATCCTTGGGCATCCGGATGGGTATGGATGTGGCGTGTATTTGGTAGGTCCACACTCCCGGATTTAGGGAACAAGGACGTTCGCCTGGGTAGAGTATTGGTAAGTGCAGATGGGCGAGGTGATTTTTTTGAGTGGCCGTTGTCTAACTTATATAAGGGTTCTCGAGCCTTTCATTTGGCTCAATTGGGGTCTTTGAGGGCAGCCTAGGGACATCTGTGAATATTCCAACACAAGTGATTCGATATATGTCCGGTGTTGAGAGGTGCTTTAAGAGTGTTGCAAAATGACTACCCTCGAGACTCGACCATAGAGTGCAGTCCATGGCCTAGAATCAATGACCTTAAAAGAAAAACCAAACAGCTCCAATTCAAACCGGTAGCAAAATACCTCGAATCAACCAGCCACGCCATCTCAGCAATCAATAAAGCAGCCAACCTATTAACAATGTGGTTTATTTACATCCGCCCGGCCCATGGTAGGGCTGTTCTACTTTCCCCCCCGCCGGTTCCTAGAATCACCTTCGACATATTCATCGCCTAGTTCCCCGCTCCGCTCCTTCTCGACCCTGGCGTCAAATTCCTTCTGCGCTTCTTGCTTCGCAAGCCGTCTCTCCTCCTCGGAATTGGAGAACGTAAAGCTGTCCGTTCCCGGCTCTCTATTCATCGGGGCACGACTTGGCCACCCCCCTACTTTCGGCTCTGCAATATTCGCCTCTTCGCTCCTGTCAGTTGGAGGGCGGACTGTGGGAGACTGGCCCTTCCGAATCCGCTCCCATGCAGACCCGCCCGTATTGGAATGTGTATTCGTCCACCTGCCCTGGCCCTGGCCCATCGCCCCTCCACCTTCCGTCGGTGAGGCGTCGCCGACACCAAATGGGTCATCCCCAGGGTGCCCTTCACCCCGCTTCCTAGCCTCAAGCTCGGAAACTTGCTCTGAAGGTCGTCCATGCGGGAATATCTCCTTCTCACCAGCATCCAAGCTACTCTCCCTCCCCTCAGAATCTCCCGTCCCACCCAAGCTCTGCTCATCATCCTGCGTCTTCGGATTTTCCAAGTCCTCCATTCTCCGAAGTCCGGGTCCGTTGACTTGAATCTCGTGCACGAGAGCTTCCTTCTTCTTAGCGGCCACGGCAACTACACGACGGAGATTTGGATCCGCTCGCTTTTCAGCCCTATTCTTCTGAACCGCTTGGAATCCCGCGCTTGTGAGGCCGTACATCCGCCCAACAGCACCCCAGACAGAAAGCTTCAGTCCTCGACTAAGCCACCTGGCGGCAGAGTCTCGCCGTGTGCCCGGCTTCGTAAACACCCTAACCATAGTGGTAGATATGAGACCGGGTTTGCGGTTCCGGAGTAGAAACGCAACGAACACCCCAGCAGAAACACCCAAGACGTCCCCATAGGACTCGTAAGAATAGAAGCGGCTTTGGTAGTAGGCCAGACCTTCGCGCTCCACGGGCGTTAATTTCAAACCGAGGAGGATCGCGGTATGCGTGAGCGAGGTGCGGACGAAGAAGTCACGGTTTGCTTCGGAATAGCCCAGGAGGCCGGAGAGTGGGGCGAGGCGGGGCGGGGATGGGTAGTTTCCCGTTGAGAACGGGTCGTATGGGTCGGGGTCACCGGCGCCAAAGGGATCGGGCTCAGATGCTGGTATATCATTATCGGCTATGTCGGGAGTCATTGCGTTTTGGGGGAAATGGAGGGGAATTGGGTCGATGAAGTTCGAGGTTTGTACCGGATGCAGTATTACACGAGCGCTGTACCGTACCGTAGGTCAGAACGTTTGAACCGACGTCATATGCTAGGGGCTGTGAGTTACCCGCCCCCGAAACTGCCCTAAACCTGTCATGGTGTCTCACTCGCTGTGCTCAATGTGCTAATTAGTTGGTATCATACTGGTGGCGAACCAAACCGACTGGAGAGCACAAAGTTAACTCTGCTGCGTTATGGTACCTGCGCGAAATTTGCGGGCTTCTGAAAGCACTGAATTCCCCTCCCATGCCGCAGCGGAGTACAAAATTGAGGGAAAATAGTTATCCCGAGAGCCTGACTTATATCTCGCGTTGGCTTAACAAACATCACATCCGGAGTCGCGGATGCTTGTTCAGAACCATCCCTTCCACACCTGGAAGTTGGCACATCGCGTGAACACCTCAGAACCCCACAATTGACTTAAGCCCAATATGAATTGCGCTTGTTCTCGAAAGCAGAATACCCATGCTGCAAAACAAAAGAGCTAAGTTAAGCCACAACTAACTAAACTTGTTCCCAACATTTGGAAAGGGAGACCGCTCCTGATTTTCAAGTTCGTTGGATGCAAATAAATATCAGTTTGTGATGAGTTCTGCAATTAACGCCACAGGTTGACATTCTGTAAATAGGAGGGCAGCGACCTTTTCGTATATGTGGAAAACGGCTGTGTTTAAACCCCTCTTTCCGGAGAATGATGTAAAGGATTACATCGCGTTGTTTTTTTTCCGACATGCCAAAGGACTTCGACTTTACCTATAATGCGTGCTTCGGAATCACCACGCTTCTAACAGAATTTCCTGCTTCTAAATTGTGTCGTGTCTAACATAGCCATTATTATATCACGTCCCCCGTAGAGGAAATCGCTGGGTCGGCTGTATGCCATACACGACATTTCTATGGCTAATTGAATATAGAATGGAGAATAAGGTGAGCGTTAGAACCTCGTTTTGCTTATTCGCTGCAGGAACTTCGGGTCTCTCTTTGGGCCCGCATTGGATACGCTTCTGGTTTTGGCTGAGGACTTGTTTAGTTTGGTGGTATCGCAGGTGTGTTAGGCATTGGTGGACGCATTTGGGATTGGATTATTATTTGGGGTGTTTGAGCTTAAATGGAGGTTACCTTCCAGTGGTATCTATAGGACACTTGGTTATAACTAGTCGGATATCTAGATCTACTTCATACATTTCTTCTCAAAGGATACGTGAACGCTCCTAGGTCCAACAGACGGAGATCAATATTCTTGCGAGATTATGTCAACTATAACCACAACTGGAATTCACTCACCTTGGAGACGGAACCTGCAGAAGCTTCACTTTTAGAAGAGGATCTATGTCTCCCGGGAAACCCTTTAATTTGCTTATAACTGACCCTAAGAGATAGAGTGAACAAAGTCATATATCATCGCCTGCCCGGCAAAACCCCTCCTCCAATCATTTCCGTTTTTCTATTCAATTACCAACACTTATGCCTCAGGGCTACTTAACTACGCCTACCGCCTACTGGCCCTAGTAGTCCTCTGACTCGGTAGCGGCTCAAAATCGTCGTCCTCATCATCATCGATATCCTCATCATCACTAGGAGGTTGCGTAGCCCGATAAAATAGGGAGTTACTTGCCTGGCTCTCGCGCGCCTGAGTGTTCTGTGTAGCGCCAAAGTTCAGCTTTGCCTGCCTCGTCCTAGTTGTGCTAGCTTGCGATGTTTGGTGACTAGCTGCGCGTGTGGTAGCCGCAGGTCGGCGAGGAGCAGCAGCTGGCTTTGCCGCGGGTTTGCGTGCGGGTTGGGCGGTGGTGGTTTTCCTGCCTCGACTGCTGACCCGTCAGAACAATATATCCAATGATGTGGAATGGGGAATGGGGGAATACGTTGTTTTTGGTGGAGGGATGCTCGGTTCGTCCTCGTCATCATCAATCATTTCGACATCATCGTCATCATCTTCAACGGCCTGCTTCCTACCACGGCCCTTTGCGGCTGGGGCAGCCTTTCTGCCCCGGGTTGAGGCCGCTGCACCTCCTCTCCCTCGGCCCCTCCCGCCTCTAGCTGCCGGTTTGCGACTAGGGGCTGCCGAGTCATCGCCGTCACCGTCGTCTTGGTCTCTGTCATTATCACTTCCGGAGCGGACCAGCGCGGCCGGCTGATCTGACCAATGGCCATCAAGATCTGAATACCAATGGTCAGGCTTTGCCTTCAGTTTCTTCCTTGTCTGCCAGGTTGTTAGCGTCCTTCAGCCAAAACGACGAGGAAAATGTAACCTCACCCTCTTAGGCTTAACTAGCCCCTTGGCAAAGAGCTGCTCAAGATAACTCTTTTGCTGCTCTACAGCTTCCGAGATGGTCTCCTCGTTTAAGTCATCAATCTCCCTCAATTTTGTCAAGTAGCTTTTCAAGCTATCCTCGACGAACATCTCCACGGCATGTTTGTCATCCTTATCAACGAACTGTCCAACTGCATCGCCAAGTCCATTACTCGGTAATATCTCTAATGTAGCATTGGTCAGGAACTCCTGAACCAATTTCTCTACCTTGACATTATCTATGGACCCGCCGTACTCCTCAAGTAAGGAGTCTTGGGCGTGCGACCCACTCACTTCAAGCGCGCTACCAACCTTCCTCCGAGCTGTGGACTTCTTTCGATAGAACTGAATCACGTCATTCACGTTCGCCACCTTTCCAACGAAACGATTAGAGAATCTCTGCGGATTTTCGGTTTCGAAGCGACCACCCTCGGGCGCCGAATATTCCACCCTAAGCCGGATTAGCGGCAATGGGGCATCTTTTCTCTCGACTTCAGGGTCTTCCTGAGCGCTGAGCCACTCAGTAACAGCCTCTTCAATCAGGTCCTCCACAGTATTGCAAAGAAAGCTAGTAACTGTAGTCCTATTCGTATTCTTTTTCCACACGTTCTTCATCTGGGGCTCCTCCGCTAGAACAATTTCTTTCATTACAAAGGGCCGCACAGTCTTGAGTCTTATTTTCTCTAATTCAAAGCCGCGGCCTGTGATCGAGAGTATGCCAGCATGTTTTGTGACAGCCTCGCCTTCGCATAGGGATGTGGCTACCGAAGATCCGGGCTGAATGACATGAAAGCCCATCTCCGGATTGAACTTGGGCTCGATTAAACATTCGTGCTCGTGTCCCCAAATAACCATATCCAAAAACTCCTGGAGGAAGTTTTCCGGTAGGTATCCAGTCTCCGTATGTCCATGACTAGAAAAAAAAAAGTAAATAAACTTCGCCTCCTTGTAGGAGCAGGAACAAACTGACTGATTCTGATGAACACACATCAGATTGAACCACTCCTTCTGCTGCACATCTGGCCGCAGGAATTTGACTTTACCGTCTCTGAACGTCCGGAACAACCTCTCATCTCTGATATTCGATAGCCCGTATAAAGCTAACTTAGTAGACCCCTTTTGTAGTAGTACTGGCGTAACGGTAATATTATCATTCTCCGGAGTCCGCCCAAAATAATTCAATAACCCTGCTACCGATAACAAGTCCAGAGCACATAACCTCCCCTCCTACCACCCTAGATCATTAGTGGATGTTTCAAAAGGAGGGGAAGAAAGGACCGAGCATCTGAAAAAACAGGAACAAACGAGAACATACCCCGCTCGGGTCATCATGATTACCATGAATTGAGAATACCGGAATAGCAACATTAATGTCCGGATCCTCATAATTTACGTGGCCCCCCGCGCTCTGAAACGTCTGGCTAGTATCAGAAAGAATCTCGATCTCGCAAGGTTTCTCTCCGTAGCAGTTCGCTCGCAAACTCTTCATAACCTGATACATAGCTTTTCTGGAAGGCTTATTGTCATGGAAAAGGTCTCCAGACAGCAGTACCATATCGACGTCCCGATCTTTCGCCAGGGACATCACCTCGTCGAATGTTTTCCATGAGTCGTCGCCGCGGATGGGATCTCGTTCGTTGTAGCCTACGTGGGAATCGGTCGCTATCAGGATGCGGAGGGTATTGGCACCTGATGAGATGGAATTAGCAAAGTTAACAATGGATCGGGTGTGGGTGGGGCAGGTATGGACGGACTGGATCGAGGAGGCATCGTGGGTAGATCCTCCCGGTTTGAGTATGCAGTGTCTGTGTTGATAGAGCTCTTTTCGCAGCCGGAGAGCGATCTGAAAAGTTAGGGTTGGTTGCTGTTCCCCGAGACTTGTTTAACGCGGTGAGTGACGGAAACGCGTCGTACAAGTAGTGATGGACGACGTCACCTGATGGCTTGGCGGGGACAGAACAGAGTTGATCTAATTTACAGTTCGAGTAGTGTAGTGATAATCTGTGCTCAAGTCACCGAGGTTTAGCACCCATCCTGGTATATTGCTCGAAATTCTATATCAAGGTGTGAGCATCGAACAGGAGATCTCGTCCTGTGCTTGGTATTGTTTTAATACTGGTATAAAGTGTCACGTGAATGATCCTCACTATTGAAAGAGTCCCCTAATTACCGGGCACTGTAGTATCCTTCTGCACTAGTACGGACTTGAGTCTCTAGAGGCCGTGCACAGGTTCCAGAGGGACTCATCCTCCGTACCTAAGTGAGAGCAAGAAACGAATTCTAGCCCGCTTCATTTATCCATCAACCGGCCCCCCACGATACCTACAACAATCTCATCACCGGAGAATACCAGGGACAAAGGATATCTGTCGATACTTGCATAGTATTGCAGCCCAGTATTGCAGCCCGAAGAAACAATGGATGGCCTATTCGGAAGTGGCCCCCACCTTTTTTTTTTGGAAAAAAACCTTTTCAGAGGTATGACAAGAACACAAATCCAATTCGCCACATAAAATGCCTGACCAAAAGGAAGAAAAAAAAAATGAGAAGAGAAAGAAGGCCCCTTTAGGAAAAGTATACACAAGAATCGTAGCCATCAACTAAACAAATCCACTCCACCGGGGACAGGGCGACCGGACAGTAATCGTGCCCACAGGTCGACTCGTAATGCTAAATGCTGTACTCTAGAAGAAAAGACATATCCCCCGCAATCGTAGCCATACCCCTGGTGTTCCAGAAAATAGCTGGGCCAGTGCTCCTCAGAGAAAGAAAAAAGTAAAAAACGAAAAAAATAGAAAAAGACAACTCCAGTGGGCAAGGCATATCGTCGTTATTTGCTAAAACGGTCGAAAATTGAAGGGTGGCTGTTGGGGAGGTGTTGCTGTGTCCTTATGACTGCGGATGTACCATCTCCGCCCTTTCAGCGTAGTCCACTCCTATCTCAATGGTCGGGGATGCGGAGCGCTGTCGCGCATCAAGGAATTCAACAACGGCTCCACGGGCCAGGTCATAATGAGGTGCTTTTGCGGCTGCTGGCTATGGATTTTGCGGTAAACCTTTCCATCGTTAATTGCCTCCGCCCAAATTGTGGGGAGAGCCACGGGATGTGGAAAATTCATACCGGCCGGCACAGTCTCGCTATAAGCTCTCTGGTTTGTAGCATCCGATCTCTTATCTCGCTCTTGTTCGTCCATTTTGATTTTAGTTGCAGCTGCCGATGCAGCCTCGACTTTCGACCGGGCTTCCTTTTCCACTTTGGTTTTCTCATCTATCTTTTCCTCTTCCTTTAGGTACTCGAGCTCTTTTTGAAACTCGGCCCAGAGTTGTTGACCGAGTTCGTATTCCCTCTCTGCAATCTCTTCGGGGTCTAGGCCGGCATTGGGATCGCTTCCAAAGGTATTCAGTCCCACCAGGTGCATTCGGCTCTCTTTTTTCCTTGCCCGGTATTCTTGAAACCTAGACCACTCATCGAGGATCTCCGGCTCTTTGTTCCACTTCTTGAGATCGTCAGGGTTGAAAGATTCAGTAGGCTTATCCGGACTGGTGGAGCGTTTTGAGCGCCGCCGGTTAGCCGACGAAGTGTTTTTGGAGCCGATTGCATGGCGTTTTAAACTGAGAGGCATTCGGGCACCGTTGCTGGCAATTTTGGATGGGGAATCACTCGCGGAAGCTAGATCCCCGTCTTCGCCAACAGCGTCCGGGGAAAACCTGAGCTTTCGCCCTTTCGCCGGCATGCTCTCCACCAGATCTTGCTCCTCGTTGTGCCGGGTCGGGGACCCTCCCACTAACAACCTGACCTGGCGAACACAGAGCATTTCAGTATGCACCTGACGCCGTTTGCGTTCCCCGTCGACCCTGGCGAGGTCTTGCGCCAACTCGTGGTTTCCCGATTTGAGAACAGCATCGATGAATACCTTTGCGGCAGTGTCCTGTCTTGAGAGGCTGTCCCTAAGCGTTTCCAATTCCTTCAAGAGGTCATTGTCGGCCAGTGTCAACCCCCCATGTGCGTTACCTTTGGGGCCCTTAAATCGACGAAAGTGACGAAGCCTAGGATCGGATTTTGGGATTTTCCAAGCTTCGGGAGATGTGCTAGATATTTGCGGTTCTTCGAACAGCCAGTCCCAGCGGGACTCCTGGCAACAGCGTCTCCAAAAAGAATCGAAGACATTATTCGCGAACTCCTCCTTTTCTCTTTCGGTGTATGGCACGACGGACTTGTGCTGAGGTTTGGACTCAACTTCATCACCAAACCTAGCAATTTCCCGGGTCTCAACCCTTCCTGCCCATGAGAATCCCCGGCAGAATCGGCAACAGCCGTCTTGTTGTTGATAAGGGCTTTCCCAATTGATCTTGACGGGATTTTTCTCTCGTACTTCTTGCCAATTGATTGGTGGAGGACCGTATTTGTATTTCGGCACGGCAACTCTCATCCTTTCTAAAAATCCATTGTGGCTCAGGGCCAAAATCAGGGTGTCCCAATGCTTCGGGTTATTCACTCGGTCGTCATAAACTTTAAGAATCGCATCGGTGGGTAACGATAGATTCTCCTGCAATTCTGTCCGGAATACCCGCATCTTGATCCCTTGTGAGTGGAGAAAGTCAACCCACGGGGCGAACTCGGTCTTCTTGAAATTTTTCCTGAATTCCTCGCGAACAGTCAAAGGCTTCCGGAGAGCCGCTGGTGTTTCTCGAATAAGAGCGGGAGTATCCAGAGCTCCGTAAAGGGATGTTGTGCCCTTGGGAGTGCTAGATCCCTCTTCCGCAAACCGGACCTTCTTCGCCGTTTCGGCCGATCTCGGCGCTCGCTTCTTGGGCTGGGGTGTTTCCAACGGTGATGGTGCCGGTAACATTTTTTTCTTTGGTAAAACCCGCTCGTTGCGCATGCGATGTCTAGATTGCATAGAGCGCCATTAGATCTCTACGAACTAGGTGACCGGGGTAATTAACTGAGGTGGCTTACGGTGTGGCCCCAACATAATGGGGAGGAAGGTCTAGCATACTCTGCCCCTTGCCATCCTTCTTAGGAGTCCTCTGTCGCTTGGCCCTCGATAGCGGATCATGTCTGGGAGCCCTCCTTACCCTCGCTTTCGCCACTCGCCCACCTTTGACGATTTGCCTCCCACTAGTGATCGCTTCAGCAGCAACATACCCAGCGTAATGTAATGTGGACTTGATTCCTCTGTAGACTAGATCGGCGCCCATCCAGACACCAGCGACTAAGCCCATAGCCGCATAATCAAAGTTACTGAATTCGTTCGGGGAACCCGCCTTTAATACGGATGACGTTTGGGGTTTAGCGTTAGCGGTAATGGTCGATTTCTGAGCGACTTTGAGGCCCGGTGGGTTGGTCTCGGGTGCGGGACCGAATAGCGGTTTCAGGTGCATTGGCGCCGTGAAGGTGGGAGTAGGTTGATCCGGGGCGTTTTGGGTGATAGGGTCTATGGCCCAGGAGGGTTTGAAGCCATAATCCTCCTCCTCCGTCGGCCTCGAGGGAGGGGGTGTATACGGTCCGGCGGAGGGATGAAGAGGGACCCAGTTTTTATCAAAGATGCCTCCGGAAGACATGTTAAGATACGGCGGGACCTGGGGGGGGGGTGGGCGACTAAACATTTATATCAGCAGGAGCGTTGGGGACGGGGGTACTTGAACCAAACCCACGATTACCGTTGGTAAAGTCTCAGTGGCGGTGCCTAGGGGAGCGGGAGGGTACGGGGCAACACTTCAGATCCGCAGACACGCAGAGGGAGAGCCGTTAAGCGTCGATGAAATGAGCGCGCTTGCGATCGGGTGTTAGTTGACGAGGTGGCTGTCGAAGGAGGTGGACAATCCCCGGAAGAGAGGGAGGGGATAAACAGTGTTTGGGGTGGAGTGGACAGTCGGACCTCAATGAGATTCGAGCGGTGGTTAAGCTTGAATGAAGGAGTGTGCTTTATGGGGAATCTTTGCTCGGGGATGGGGAAGGAGTGAAGGGGGTTGGAAATCAAAATGACAATGGGAAGAGCGTTTCGACTGATGTTTTTTCTAAACGCGTGAGAGCGACAATACTCGAGTAGCGGATTCTTGGCAAAAATGGCACCAGTACGAGTACAGTAAGCCATTGAGTCGCGTACGGTAACCCTTTCTTGAGGCTCCTCATCGAGTCCCCCAGATCTCCGAAGCCATCTGACGCGTGGTCTTGGCGTTAATCCTTGCCACGCATGGAATGGCACGAACAATTCTTTGTTCGACTCGCCCTCCGCTCTCCGTGCTGAGGAATTACAGTAACTCATGGCCATCACCGTAACTTAGGTCAACCCCCCTAGGAATAGTATGATGGGATACGAGTTCGGCAGCCAAGTCTATTGACTGGGATAGAGTCTCTCTCTTTATCATTGTTTGTCAATACCACGAGTAGATTTATAACAGTGCCTTTGGCAGTTCCGGGTCAAGCTCCGTGTCCACCATTCACCTTCCTAATTAGGAAGGTGAGAAACGGGGTTCAACACCATGATTGAATCTCACGATCCTGCCCGGCCATTCAACTTGGAGCTTCGTAAGTGTGCTGGAACGGTATCCTCTGAGATAAAAACACCATGGCTGGCACCCTACTGCTGCCTACCTTATGCTCTTTCATAGCCCCAGACTGGGGGCTCTTCCACTTTCAGTCTGAGGTTATGGAAGAGAAGCATTAATAAGAATAGGATTTTCCTATGTTGCTGGGGGATTTCCTAAATGAACAGAAAATGCCAACTTGATTTGGTTTCATGAACTACAAATTGTTTCTCAATTTTGATAGGATTGGATGTGGTATTCACCATTTATTTGTTATTTGGGAAAGGGCGGTGATGAAATTTCTTTTGTTACAGCGGTTTTTAGACCATAACTTAGGTTGCATGCCATGGATTTTCCTGTACAAGTAGCTAGCTACAAATAAACCACGGATTTAACAAAAAAACAAAATTCGGCAGTTCCGAGTCATCCAAGGATCTTGACCCCTCCCATAGAATCTCACGTACCGATGCCATTGTACCGGAGAGGTATCGTACGGTACGTGCTCACCATTGTGAACCACAACTTATGGCCTGCCAACATCATGTGCACCCTGCAGTAAGGTTCTATGGAGAACCTCAAGCCATATCAAACACGGGCCCAAATGCTCGATCGGTCTACCTGTATTCAATGGACTTCAAACTCAGCCGACAAAGAGGCCACAATCCAACCAACGGTGTGATATGGTACAATATCGTACCCAACTCCGGCCAATTAGCACCCTACACCTTTTGGGATCCTCTTCCATAGACCCCTATGCATGATCCCCTCCTCATCCCACTCTCCCATACTCTCATCCACCACAAACCCTGCCTTCTCCCACAAACCCACAACACTGGTCTGCGCGTGCACCAAACACATCCTGTTCCACTCCGACCCGTCATCCCCAGTAAATTCCTTCCTGGCAGCCCACTCGACCGCCGCATCAATCAATTTCCTTCCAACCCCATGTCCCCGATAAGCCTTTGACGTAGCCCACCGCCCCAACTTTAGGTAGTTGGCATGCTCCTGGCCAATAGGGACGGGCTCGCCGGGATGGCTTTTGTGAGGGCCGGGGATTATTCGGATGGTCCCGATGGGCACGTTTACTGAGGCATGGGCGTCGGAGTCGTAAGCAACCATGTGGTAGCTGCGTTTGTCATTGTCGTCGAGTTCGTTTTCCACTGGGACACCTTGTTCCTCCACGAAGACTGCCTTTCGGACGACCATTGCGTCCTTGAAAGTTTGGGATGTGGCGCCCTCGATGGGCTCTTGGGAGAGCACTATTGTGGGATTGGAGGGTGACATTGTAACTTGGGATTTTGCCGAATTAGTGATGGTGGAGGAACGTTTAGCTTTCGGTGTCGGCACTGAAGCCTCTGTGTTCCTGGGGAAAATGCTGCCGCGGCGCAGTGGGGTAATGTGGGACAAGAGCCTCAGATCCGTTTGTATGAGTCAGACCCGTGAGGGGCCGAACTTCTCAAGTCCCGATTGGACTGAACAGGCGTGAGGATCCGTGATCGATTCCCCGGAAGCGACCGGGAGGGATTACCCGTAAGATGCGCCTGCGATGCAGTGCTGTGTGGGTTTCCGTGCTTCCCCTGCCTCCTGGGCAAGCAGCCCAGGCATGCTTAGGCTCGTAATCTAAGAAAATTAACATTACGGTGCCCAACCTCGGATTGTAAAGAGCACGGGACCAGTTGTGATGGATGAGGTCGATGAGCGTTCCTTTGCCATAATTGAGGCGACAACACGTGTTAGGACACAACTCCTCTACCGGTGGTCGGGGATGCCTGGACTTTCCCTGAGTTGGGTGGGCCGCAGGCTTAGAGCTTGAGATGCCGAATCATATCTGGTGATGCGCTTCTCGCTTCCCTTCGACAACAGTGTCCGAGAAAGCAGGAGAGAGTGATGGCTATTCCAAGTACTGACACGGTACGATATACATATGATCTACGGCCTAAAACTCTCCCCAATTTATCATCAGGCAAGGCGACCATAAATGCTAAATTAGGGACGGGAGGGAGGGAGATAAGGTGGAGTCTTTTTTTTTATATCATACCAAAGTTAGCAGGTGCAATGAATACCGCATCGCAGTGGAGATCATATCCCTTAATTACAATAATTCTGTAGGGTTTAGCTCAAACAACCGCCTCTCCTCTTCCTATCACTCGTATAGTACTCCGCGTGCTTGTACAGTACTCGCCTATAACTCCAGGAACGAAGCCCAACAAACGACGGCAAACCACCAACAAGCCAAGCACCCATTCCATCCAATTCCACCCCGCTGCCCCTCCTCCTCCTCCTCCTCCAAAAGGGGAAAAAAAAACGTTCAACGAGCCAAGCCAACGAGCGACCTCCAATGCAAACGCCCATCATATAAAGCCGACGAACCTCCTCTCCCCCGTCCGCAACGTTAAACCCCCGAATCCGCATCAATTGCGATACATTTCACACCTCCACCGCCCCCTCGAAACTACCCACCGACTCTGCGCCGTATCGCATCATCCATCCTGCACCCAACACATGCGTACATCCTTACCGCACCAGAAAAGAATTAAATGTGTATCCTCATCTACAAAGACCCTCCCTCGTCCACTGGCCCCCCGCCCGCACGTCGCCGCCTCGCGCGTCCGCGTACCGAAGAACATTCCGGGGGCAATCCGGAGTGGCAGCCAATGGTTGGCGGCGGAGCTGCCCAGCAATCTCCGCCGCCGCCACTGCCGCCTCCTGGTATTGCGGGAGGGTTGCCGGATACATTTGTGGTTAGGGCGCAGTAGGGTCGGGGATTTGTGGTAGCTTAATGGGGTTATTGGAATGGTATCATATCTTGGATTTGGGGGGGGGGCGACAGAATAGAGGGCTGACTCTTAGTAGGCACTCGGGATCGCGGGGTTGGAGTGCGGATAGGTGCGGGATTTAGGGTGATATGGTGACTACCTGGGTTGGAGATCGGGGTTGGAGTTTGTGGTTGTGCGGTGGCGATATGTGAAGATGGGATGAGAGATGAGATAGATGAGTTGGATGAGGTCGATGAGATGAGCGTTTGTTTGTTTGCTTTCTGTTTGTTTGTTTGTTTGTTCGGCTGCATTGCACGGTAGGATAGGATAGAGATATATATTTTTCTCTCAGAATACTCGTTATCCATAAGATGCTACGTTAAACGAGTGCCTATCATAACTAACTTGGGTTCCCAGAAAGACAGGATCAGCATTGTAAAGAAAGAACTCGTTCCCCCGCCACTGCCCGTTCTAAGAACCCCTTTTTTTGTATAAGCCAGAGCGCCAGGTAAACAAATAGGAATCATGACCATGCATCCAGACCTTGAAGAGATGGAGAAGAGATAAGTTAAAAAATAAAGAAAAAGATAAACCCTCACTTCCCGACAACCCATTCCAACCTGTCCGCAATCTCCCTCCACTCCATCCTCCCCTTCTTCTCAATCTCGCCAGAGATCGATTCCAACTGCCTCTCACCAAGCCTAACGTACCACCCCTCCCCGGTGATAATCCCAACATCGTCGCCACCCCTAACTTTCCCGACCAGCCCTTCCCGCCTTAGCACCTCCACGCTCCACTCCTCACCCCTCTTCCCACCCAACGCGCTCACCCTCCAGGCCCCCGGAACCGCAACCTTCTGCTTCAGCCCCTCCACATCCCCCCTCTCCTTCTCAGCACCTTGCCATTCACCTTCAAACCGGGCCTTTTTCTCTGCTTCTTTCCTTGTCGCAATCTCATCCTCAATCAGCGAAGGTCTTCGTCTCTCTTCGAATATTCTGTCATGTTCCTCCACTGCTGTCGCCGCCGGAGTACTAGCGCGCATCGCAGCGTGGGAGTGCAAGAGCTCGAGATGCGCCCCCTGCTGATCCCGTTGTGCTAGCGAGCGCGCTTTCTTAGCGCCAACGTTTTTGGCAGGAACTCCTTCTTCCTCCGGCTCTGGTGGGATGGTAAAGTCAGGGTTCTGCGCTTGCCATTGGCGCATTAATTCTTCGGTTTCGGCATCCTGGGGGTATCCTTCTCCCACCACGTCGTCATCGCCGTTGAGATCTTCTTCCACTTCCCCCAAGGGGACCTGTTCTGCTCCTCCAAGTATAGGCTTTTCCGCTGCAGGCTGTGTCTCGAACACCACTTGCGATTTGCGCTTGTTTGTTTGTTTGTATGCGTACACAACCGCCGCGCCTAGCGCCAATAACGGGGTGAGGAGGATGAAGCCGCAGATCAAGGGGAAGGTGAAGTTGGAAAGCCCCCCTGCAATCGATGACGCTAGGAACGACATTTGTGAATTCTTAAGTTGGGAGTGGAGGGATGGAGGAGGCGGCCGTGGTGGGTGTGGTCCGGTGGTGATGGGCACTTGGCTTGGTTCTTGTTGGAGTGCTTGATGTCGCTTAGTGACTTGGCGGCACGTGGCATTGTCATAGATGATCACTCGTAGGGTTTTCTTTGTTTGCGATGGTGGGGGTCTGCGGATAGAAATAGAATTGACTTGAAACGGCACAATGGAAAAAGCGGAGGGGAGGATGGGCTATTGCATTTCCACACGGTGATTGCTAGCTATCTCGGGAGCTTGGTGAATTTAGACTGATGGTATGGTATGACAGGACGGATTTTCGACACTGTCTGTCTATACATAGCGAAGACACAATTAAGATGCAAGGGTGTGCGAGATCTTAAAAAATGTGTATGATATCTACTCCTCGCGTTCGCGTTATTCTACACCAATATCCTCCGGATTATCCGAGCATTTCTCCCACCCTCGAGCATAAAATTAAAGTGGAGCAAAGGTTTCACTTTTCCCCCGTACTGCACCGGGGATCATTTTTTTATTGTTTCTTCTATCTATCCCAACTTTTGGTGGCAAACCTCTAAATCTAAGCTAATGATAATTATTAAACATTAATGCGGATATGAGCAAAGTTGAGCGAAATCGCTATACAGACCAAACAGAGGAAAACGAATGCCAAAAATTACAGCCCAAAATGGGGAAAGTAGAGACAAAGTACATGGAAGGTGCAGTATAGGAACGCAAATGGCTAAATGACTAAATGATGGGATAATCTACATCTCTATAGGAAGGGAAATTTGAGAGAAGAAAGTACAACATACAACTCTACAATCCCTGCGACCAAAACCACCCATCCATGAAACCCGTCTGCTCCTCGGTCAGATACACATTCACATTTTGATTTTCATTCCCGGGCTGAAACGCAGCGAATGCCTCGTCAAACAGGCCGATATCCGAATGTTCAGTCACAGGCTCACCGGGAGTCTTCTGTCGTGGGTTATCTTGCGTACTACTAAATCCTTGTGCTACCGGCTGGGCGTGGGCGGTTGGTGTATACGGGACCAGCACAGGAGCAGCAGGAGCAGCAGGGGCAGTGGGAGCAGCAGGAGCAGCAGGAAAGGTAGGAGGAGCGGGAGGGAGCGCGTCTTTCCGTTTTCGTTGATTGCGCTGTTGAAAGTATAGATCATCGGCATACGTAGCAGCAGGCTGAGGGCGGCGGCGGCGGCGGCGGCCCCTATGGGTAGTAGTGGTGGGAGCGGTCCAGGGGATGGGTGAAAGTGACCTAGATGCAAGGTTAGGCACATCTGTAGTGGGCTGAGGGGCAGGGGCGGGTACTGTTATAGGGGTTGATGTAGAGACTGGGATAGGGGGTGGGATTGTGATTGGGCTGGGTCTTCTCCGAGTCGTTTTCTTGGTTGGCATAGGTGGAGGTGGGGGAGGAGGAGGTTGGCGGTATTGGCGCGGCTGGGCATGAGGGAGTGTCCAGCCTTGCCGCTCCAATGTTTGAGGGCTGTATCCCGGAGGGGTGAATTGGGTCGCACTCTGTTGGGAAGGAAGCACCCAGTCCGGTTGTTGGAGCGCCGGGTCGATATTTTCTTTGTTCCAGTCCTCGTCTCCTGCCAAAGGGGTCTTGCTCCAATCTATATAGTCCAGGGGTTCAACATATCCTAGGCTAGGGTCAATATTGGAGTATTGGCTCCCATAAGTGTTCTCCTGAAGGGGGACTGAGGTTGTCCTAGCTTGCACTATAGGTGTCGGAATTAGTTGGCCAATGTCTTGGATCTGAGAGGGATCCGTTGGGAGATTATAAGTAGCCGGAGTAACAGGATCTTCGGCGATCTTGGATTCATCCCTTGCTCTTTTCATCTTTTTAGAGTGAGGTGGAGGTTTAACTAAGGCAGCCCCAGGATCCTCATACTCAGAGATAGACCCTTCAGTGGACTGGGTGGTCTGGCTAGCAGTAGAACATGATCTAGGCCGCTTCTTGATCTCGGATGGAGGCCTCACGCCCTTTTTCCCTGTTTTCCCATTCCTGGAAGCAACCATTTCATGAGAGAGGCCCTGACTCTCCATAGCCCTCATTGTAGCAACAGTCACACCAGAGCAGCGTTTTCCGCCCCAACCGCGGCGGGCAGTAACCTTCTTGGCGATATCGTCACTCGTAATACCGGGAGGAGCACGTGCCCTCTTACGCCCTTTGCGGACGCCAGAGAGCCAGAGCGCATAGGAGAGGGTTTTCTCTGGGAACCAGTCTACGTTGACTGAATAGCCTTGGACTGCCTCGATACGCCAATTAGTGAAGGCGGAAGCACTAGCAGGGGTAACACCCATCTTGTTGATGCGCGTGCAGTCTGGCTCTTTATCGTATATGCGCCTGTTGTCAGGGGCGAGGATGTTGAATACTACGAGTGGAGCGACCGGAATGAGTCTCTCGAAGCAGTGCAGATGGAGATACCCTGCTGAAAAGTAAGGGTCATTGTCATCTTGTTGGTTTTCCCCCAGGCGCCCGGTGACTTCGTCGATGGCGACTCTGTGGTCTCCAACTTTGAAGGCCCGTTCCCAATCACAGACCTTGGACCTGCACTTTATGTATTTTGGCTCTCTATAACGGCACTGGAAGCTGTAAGGATGCTTTTCGATCCTCAGGTTGAGACGCTCCCCGTTGGGGTGATCTATTCAAGTTAGCCACACTCTTGTTTTAAAAGTGGGAATATGGGGATTACATACATCGCACAAATCTCTGCATACTCTCCTCATCAAACACAATGTCTTCATGCAGATGGCCACGGGCAGTATACTTAAACTCGGCCCATGACTTTAGGGGCTCATACACAGAATAAACTATTGGGACCTCTTCGCGTGAATCCTTGATTTTCTGCATTGCAGAACATTTCCCAGTGATTTTCAAATGGGATATCGGGGCGAGGCTTTTTGGAATACCTGTAGCAACCTCCTGATTTGCGGGAAGTTCTGTCAAGTTTGAGGGTCTCCTATTGCCTCCGAGAGTAAGTCCTCCCCCGAGAGTAAGTCCTTCCCCGAGAGTAAGTCCTTCCCCGAGAGTATGTCCTTCCCCAGGAATAAGTCCTTCCCCGAGAGAAGCCTCTGGAGGAGAAGAAATTACCTCAACCACGGGGGGAGCTTTGTAAGGGCAGAGAGGAGCTTTTGCTGGAAGGACCAGGCTGGATTTCTCAGAGCCGGTAGGAAATTGGTCCCCTTGTGCGCCGCCCTGGTCCGCAGGAGGAGAAGAACCGAAGAGACTCAAAATATCTTGAGGGGCCTCCTCACGATTAGCTGCGCAAGTTTCAGCAGGAGTTTGCTGAGCCAATTGGGGATGATCCAATGATCCAAGGTACTCCTGAAGGTTTGATATGGGGGGATACCAAAATTCTGCTTGCGCCAAAGAGGGGGCACCAGTACAGACCAGTGCTGATTCTTCGTAGCGCGAAGTATTCAGCAAGCCAAAACTATCGTCGTTGTTGCAGGGAGCGGAATTCGAAATTTGGGTGTGTGGGTGAACCGGGCCCCCGGCGATGATACTATCAAGATCTGACAGTTCGAGAGGGTGATTGTTCGTGCCTTGCTGCAAAAGGGCGGGATCAACGGAACCCGACAGAGGATCCATGGAGGCAGGTGGGCAATCCCCCAAAATAGCACTCATGTCATCACCGAGCAGATGACTGAGATACCACTCTGGGAAATCACCAGATTGCATCTGATTGAGGCCTTGTGACATCACGAGTAATGCTCTTGGATGGGGGTTTGTGTTGAATGTATCCGATTATCTGTGTAGTTGGTGTGGAAGGTAAAGATGAGAATCAAACAGCACAGCTAGTAAGTTATATAGGACTAAAAGGAGTATGCTATGAAAAAAACTTAAAATATTGTGAGATTCTTAAGACAAAAAGGAAGGTTGAAAAGAATGTAGATGCCCAAGTTGAAAAATATGGATCCAAATGCCATATATCAAGATGAACTCAGCTAGAAAGTGAATGAAAGGTTGAAAGAAAACGAATGTGTATGTTCAAGACATGAAAAGAGAGAAGTTTTGGCGAATGCAAGATAACGATAAACGATGGTATAAATAATAGAAAAATACAGCTTCAAGATGAAAGAGGGCAGGAATCAAGGGTTTTATCTGAGCTCACAAAGTATTTATCAACTTGGATGTCCCAGATCTGGTCACTTGGAGGGTTTGTTTCCCAAGGGGTTGACTGCCCCGATGGCAAACCATGGTTTGAAACCACGGTTAACAAACTAACAAATGATAGGGCTTAAATATGCTAGTTGGTCCACCTATCAGCCAAGTTTCAAAATTCAAACCATGGCCGTCGTGCCAAACAACCCTCAAGTTCTTTGTCGATTTGGTATCACACTTGTCAAAGTGTACTTGGGGATGTGGTTAGTGGGGCGGCACCCAGAATAAACTGAGACATTTAAGTACTCGGATATGGAAGTAGAAATCGAGTACGCAAAGGACCCTGTTATTACAGGTAAGTATTGAGCGGGCCAGGATAACGGAAAGGTCTGCATGCTAAGGTATTGAAGAACTTGGACTATAACCCAACTGGCGCTGAATGGCGACGATGTAAGTGATGGTCTGGTAGTGATAGTACGGTAGCTGGTGGCGTGGTCTGGTGGCACTTGTACTGTAGCGTATTTTGTATGTTTAAGCAATACTTAGGTAGTAATCAACCCCATTCATTTAATACCCCTAAGGGGACAGTATGGTTAATAGCTCTCCTCCTTGATGTCGATCCAGTTATGCTACCTGTATTGTCCTGTACTGGTAGCAGTAAGAGATCACCAAGATGCAACTACTCCGGGGGTTAACTTCTCTCTGTCCCACACCTCCTTCGATTCCTCATATGTGCGATTCCCGAGGTTGCTGATTTTATCCCTGTCGTGCACTATTTCTTACTCCCCTATCCGAGTACTCGAGTGCAGGTACCAGGGTACTTTTGTGAGGTGGGAGCGGTGGGCGAACAAACAGACAATGAGACTAGTAGTGGAGGAGAGAGAAACTTCATTACTATTCTGAGGAGCAAACCTCCAAGCTACATACAAGACACCAAAAAAATGTAACTGCTAACTCTAACCTCATGCCCTTTAGGCCTCCAAGTCCTCATCTCCACTAGTACATACCATACCAAGGATCATTACGCATCGATCCTCAAGACTCAAGACATATAGTTATTGTATCTTCTGTTCATGTGCTCTCAACACTTTTCCTATAGATAACACCAATAAAAAATACGATTTATCAGCAAAAAATTATATTTCCATCTTATACACCCTGTATGTCTGATGTACTAAATACTGTTAGAAGGTAGGTAACTCTAAAGACAAGTAAGTATATACTAAGTCCAATAATATTCTGTCTTGGAGATAGTTAAGAAGACTTGTTAAGATAGAAGTAAAGTAGAATAAATATATTGATAAGATCTCTTTTCCAATCACTGATGATATTTTAAAGTTAGATTTTTTTTTTTTGTTTGACTCATTTTATTATTTTGTTTATGGGACAAAAAGGCATATGGAGTACTAGCTATGATACCTAAAAAACTGCCCCTCCCCAGCCTGGGCTGAACAGTGGCAGCAGAGCTAAAAGAACCCTCTGGGGTAGAAAAAACTACTTGTAATGGGTAAGGTCTGAGGGTCGGGTAGCCCAAGGCACACCATGACAGGGACAGGCTGTCACGGCCACCCAGCTATGGAGACGGAATATGCATTGGGGTTTTTCATTGCATATATTTGGTTAGGTTTCTTTGGTTGCACAGTAGGATTCCCTTTGTAATAGAACTGGGGTCAGTTGCCGCGCGGCGGAACATGGTAGAACCTGACAGAAGGGTCGTGGCTGTGCGCCATGCCAAGAGCTTTCTTTTGTATTAGTGATCGAGGAGGATTTCCTACTTATATAAGGAGGTGTGCCCCCTTATATTTTACTTTCTTCACGCAATCTGGTAATCTCCTTTGGACACCCTTTCTTTCATTCCTGTGCGGCGACGATGAAGCCTTTCTTCGGATACTAGTAGGGGAGTCATCTGGGTTCGCCTAGTAGTCCTGCTGGTTGAAGTTGATGTTGGTCGAGTTGTTGTTTGGTAGTTCATTTGATTATGGTTCTCATCTCGTCTCCCCTCGGCTCGTCTCTATCGTGAGGCTGTATGGGCTGGGGGGCCTTCTTTTCTGCTTGATGAGACTTCTCTTCGGTAAAATGTTTCGGCTTTCCTGTACTTGTTACCTCGCAGGATTTCGCGTTCATAGAGTTGGTTGGGAGTGGTTGTTGTGGGGGGATCACCCAGTTGCTGAGAGGATCGGGCGCCTCCATTCTTCGTGTTGGAGTTCTAAGGCCCACCCTTTGGTTGTTTCACGTGTTGTTTTCAGCGATACTAACACCTACAAAATCAATTGATGACTGCTCTGTACCTTAACTCGTCGTACTGATCGCATCACACTTTTATGGTCGGGTCCCCTGCTTGTGTGGAGATTACCTGGCTGTCAGCTACATTCTCCGGTTGGAATCCTATGATGTTGTTTCCTCCTGTTCCCACGATGTTTTCCGTTCCTGTGGCTGCTACGGGTGGTTGTGGGGTCTACTTCCTCGCCCGACTTGGGTGGGGATGCCTTTGACCCTAGTGGTTACGCCCCCCCTCTTGACTTCTATGGTTGGGATTGTGGTGGTAGTGGGTGATTAGCTGCTGGACTCCCTCGCATGGGGGCCTTACTTGGCAATAGCCGTGTTGGGTGTTGGAGGGCCTTGGCGATCACATCCATTGCAAGTGTGGTATTTCTCGGCTCGCTTAGCCTGGCTGGTGCTTACTCTTTACAGTCGCGACTGTTCTGAGGCTGGTTGTCATAATGATGCTGTTCTGGGCCTGTCTCCTTTGGCCTGGATATTCTATACCTGCCTTCCTGGGCTTACGCTGCTTGAGTGGGTGGATGAGTGGACTGTTGGCTACCGTGTTGTATGTGGCCTCGCTCCTTTGAAGTGGCCCTTCCTTGGCCTTCAGGCGGCTTGGTTCGGGTCCCACCTGGTCATGTTCTACCGGGTGTCTCTGGGGCTCTCCTCCTGACTTGGGAGCTTGACGCCCGTCTACATTACCTGCACCCCATGTTTCCTCGGTGAAATGGCCCGTTGGTGTGGCCTTCGCTAGTCATTCGGGCGGTGGGCTCTGTGGGGCCGTGGCTTATATGTGTGGCTGTGGTTGGGGTGTGGCAGTGCTGGCAGATAATGGCCGGCCGTCATGGCATCGGATATATATAGTTACCGCGTAGTCTAGGTTGAGCTTCGGCTTGATGCGACTTGGTGGTTGGATCAATGTTATGGTGCGGCGCCTGGGGGCGCCTAGTCTGGCGGACCTGATCTGCACCTGATGCATTAGATGACTTGAAGTTGTGCCTGAGGCAATGCGCTCGGAGCCATGTTGGGCTAGGTGGGAGAAATAACACTGGAAGCCGGCCCTCGACTGATCAAGCAGTATGAGGTACACCGTAACCTCCCGGGGCCTGGAAGGTGAATGGATGGGAGTTGGTTGTGTTGGGGAGTGGTGATGGTTTTGCCCTTGTTACAATTACGCTTGGTCCTGTGGGCGCAATATCGCGCGGGATTCATACTGGGCTAGAGGGTTGGGGGTGTCGCTGGGTTGGGTTTCTTTGAGTTCTTTGTTGTTTCGTTGGTTTGGCTGCTGGGTTGGGATGTGGGTGGCTGGTTGGGGGTAGGATTCCACGGGTGGGAGATAGGCCCCACTGGCTTTCACGGTCTGTCATCGCCCCTTTTATTTTTACTTTGTGTTTTGTTGGGACCCTGTTTTGTGGGGTACCCTAGTTTGTTGATGTGGTGACGGTTGTAGCCATCCCTAGGAGCCTTTTGGGATCGTTAATACAGTGCACTGTTCCAGCCCAGCAGTTGATCTGGGTACACCTTAACAAGGTAAGAACTTGGGCGTAAATCCCACACGCTGCCAGAATTTTGAGACCGGACCTGAACGTCCAATACTAGAAATGGCCAAGACTTTAATTCTCTGTTATACCCTTTTTGTTGACCCACTGCCAAATGTAGTTGCTTTGATGGCCAAGATATATAGCATTTGGTGTGAGGCACTGGATAAGATGTCAGAGCCTGCCAATATTAAGCCATCAGAGCATATTTTAAACCTAGTAAGTCAGCAATCAATGACCAGATGCTCTGCAGATTGTTAACAAAGATAGATACCATAAAAACACTCTGGGGTAAGGTTACAATACATCTATCATCTGAAGTATAATATTGTAAAATTATATGAACTGCCACAGGACCATGCAGCTGTCGAGCGCAGGGTTGCATATCTCTTAAAAGAGGAATAGTTTATATACGAACTGGTCAGAGACAAGGTTGATCACTAGCAGCTGAATTGGTAGACCTTGGATTCTGACTAACTCAGATGGAACTGTGCACAGAATGTCAGTTTCAGATTCCTTGCACCTCAGATCGCAGATGCTATCTATGGCAAGTACTTTACAGGAAAGAAAATGCGAGGTATTCTAGAACCCAACTTTATAACACAGATCAACGATACTATGGTATGTTTGACTTGTACTACAATCTGCCATAGACTTAGGACATGGCAGACGGGGATATACATAGAAGTGAGGAACTTCAAGCCTGATGTGGTAGGAGATAAGATGCTCCTGAAACTTTTCATGTTGCATTTGTTACCGATTCAACTAACATGTCACTCCTATAAAAGACCTCTTTGC